TTCACTTTTCATGTGAAGTTTATTTCTGTATTCTGTAGTCGACCTCATTTCTTTGGCTCCTCATTTTACTTTCAAATCAGCGACACCCAGCTGGTTTCCTTCAACTGTTTGGCTTTGACGTCAGAGCCTTTGACTCATCTCCCTCAGTAATAAACTGTTTCACAGCGCGCCCCCTTCAGGCCTGGAGCACTTCTGCTGTGATGACTCAGGCAGCATCACCCAGGTGTTAGGTGCTGATTTATAAGTGTTAAAAAAAATGCAGTTCATCAAGTGTCCACTTGAGGCAGACTACAAAAGCCCTGGAAGTCCTTTAACATCCATGTTAAATTGTCTTTATTTACAGCAGAGATAAACATGTTTACAGCCTGCGTGGTCATGTCTCTATTGGTTCACATTGGACAGGGTTGATTTTTTTTAACTACTCATCTTTCAAGATTATATTAAGATGAAGAGTTATGCATGCATTTGCATAAACAGGGGCGTGGCTGATTTGACTGACAGGTGGGCGGGTTCAGCTCCACCTCTGTCTGTTGTGATAAAAACTTGGTTAGTGAAGGTTTTTTAAATATGGTGCCCACCATCGCTGCAGCTTCATAACTCATCTTCAGACACCAATGGGTGATGTCATTGAGACGACGTCCATGTTTTATACAGACTACTGAATGTGGTGGCTGATTATGAAGCATTCTTCCACTTTTGCTGTTTTCTTCTGACTTGCATTTTTGATTCGATATAATTTATTATTTGTGCAGCGGGTTTGCTGTTGAGGAAAATGAACCGCACACCCTAAGAAATCTCCCAGGGATCTCTAAGGACACTCAGGGGGGCTCCTGAATATTTCAATACATCTTAAAATATATTTAGTCATGAATTTAAATCAAAGAGTACGGGCTCATGGGAGCTATTCGAAACTCCCTGTGGATAATGTCACCAATTTAACAACATCATTTAAGATAGCTTAAGATGACACCGTATGCAACCTTCTTTTGAAACCTTTTTCAAACTCTAGTTTTTATTGTGATGAAGATTGTTTCCCACATGTCACACATTGTCAGTTATTCTACATGAGTTTCTGATTTCTGTCAGCTCACCTGTCCTCTCTGCTGACATCTCCCTCCACGTGCTTCAGCTGTCTGTCAGATAGTTCACCCTCTCTACAAAATAATGAAACAATGAGGTATGAGGAGCTAAAGAACCGAATCAGAATGTTAAGTTATCAGTACTCAACTTTCATGTCAGTTTTTTCTGACTTTTGCACCCAAAATAATCCCCCAAACCACAAATATCTATTTATTGCCTTCACTTGTGAAAATTAAAAAAAATCAGCTTTTAACTAGATAAATGATAAACGGACTTGAGCTTGTATATTTATTTTCTAGTCTTCTGACTACTCAAAGTGCTTTAACACCACAGGTCACACCTACACATTCACACACTGATGGTAGAGGCTGCTGAGTAAAGAAACCATCACAACTAACTAATCCCAAATACACATTCATATGCCTGAAGCAGCAGGAGCAACTCAGGGTTAAGTGTCTTGCTGAAGGACACATCGGACATGTGGCTGCAGGAGCTGGGGATCGAACCCCTGACCTTCCAGTTGAGAGACGACTGACTCTACCACCGAGCCACAGCTGCTCATTAGGTGTACAAATTCTGAATGCAGGGGTTTAAAAAACAGCAACTTTTTATAAACTTAATGCATTTGCTTCTCGTTTTAATGTTTCATGTTGTGATAGTACAGGAAACATGTCTCCCCCTTTTTTCACCCATTTCTCTATTAAATACTGTTTAAAAAGGAAATCAGTCCATGCTGCTTTATCCTCTGTCATCAAGCAGGCGTTTACTTTCAGTTGTCGTTTTACATAAGTCAACAGTAGCATGCTTGTTATCCTTCATAATGGCTCCGTCTGAGATTTGTCGAGCATTGTCGGGCAGCGCTGAGGCTTTTTAAAAGCTGTCTTTACGAATCAATGTCACTCTTCTCTTTCTGTACGACTCAATGTGAGCGCTAAGCCAAACAAACCACGGCTCCTCGCGCTGCGCTCTCTTCTGTTCAAATAATCAGCGCCGTCCCTGAACGTCTCTTTCAGACAGAAAAACGCTCACCGCGCTGTGACAGCTGCCTTTTTTGTGCTGCTGAAAACTTGTTCAGCCTGTTCTGTGTGATGGAAAGAGAGAAATACAGGAATATAAAGTTCACCTCAATGGGAGAACGTAATCACTGAAGGCTCAGTGCCAGCGATTAAGACAACAGATCAGTCAACAGATTGAAGGTAGAAAGTAACTTCTGAAGATTTATGTTTCAAAATATCAGCAGAGGAATCAACTCATAGAGAGTAGATTTAAGAAGAACAGTTGTGAGGAACTTTGGCATCTTAAAAAACTGTTTCAGGGGTTTTTAAAATGGGGTACACACTACTCCTAGAGGTGATTGATCACAATAATTCTTTGTCCAATTGAAGTTTTGATTTATTCAACCAAAATCAAGGCTCTTGGTAAATACCAAAAGCTCTTGGGAAGTTTCAAAGGAAAAAGGTTCCTCAGAGAAGTTCTGGAGGTCTTAAAAGACAGAACCCCAATGACATACCAGGAACAACTTGGGAGGAACCAAGACTCGGTGGAGAGGTTTCAGGATTATATCTGATGATCCAAGCCTCGACTTGCCGGGAATGTTTACAACCTTGAGCTTGGATCTTCCAGGGCCTTGGTTTCTTAGAGCTGGCCAAAAGGTTAAAACCATCGCTGTGATAAAACAAACCCTGTTTCTAAGAATCAGTGCTCGTCTGTGTGAAGCTCAACCTCTAGTTCAGCCTATAAAAGAAAAAGGACACATCTCTATGATGAGCTTTGACACAGTCTGGACTCTTGATAAAGCTGTTCTGTCTGTTAAACCTCACAAAGGATGTCTTTGTTCACTCTGCTGTGAAATGAGGATGGGATGAGTCTTGTTAGTGTAAATGGATAAATCATGACAGCACACTTCCAGGGACTAATGTAGTTAAGCTTCTGTGTGTTCACGATCAAATAACAGGGATTGGTGGCACTAAGATCCTCCAACTGAGTGAGGCTGAAGGTTTTATGGTCTTTAAAGGATTTCAGACTGAAGACGGGTTGTCGCTCTTTCTGTGCTTTAAACTCAAAGACGTTCACCTCTACTCGTTAAAGGATTGTCTTTGTCATAAATCATCATAAAATCAATCATATGGGCATAATGAATCTTGGAGGTTCCCGAAACAAGACTTTGGTATATTTTACTTCCTGTTATTAGATCATCAATTGTTGCTTTAAAACAAACTTGTATTCGTTGCCATCTCCTTATTTTTAATATCTGATATTCTGCTTTTTTCCTGTTATTCATGTATTGTCGATTCTTTATACATCATTTTGCCAACACACAACAACCTACGAGACAGGACTTCACAAGAACATCACCCAGAGGCGTTATGAAGCCCGACAGTGGTGGTCGCCATGTTGGTAATGCTGCTGACTCCAACTAACTTCTAAAACATAAGAGGGTAAAAAGTTAAGGTTGAGGAAAGCTGTGGGACTTTCTTGTTCGCTCAACCACTCCCATCTAGCTGTTCAAGCAAACATATTCAAAATCCTAGTTTGAGGGTCAGTAACGAGATTTAACTTCAGTGAAGCTGGGCCTCCTGAACAGCCACGCCCGTTGTTATGCTTAACTCTTAACTTTGTATGAAGTGAGTGTTTTGATTTTCGCTATAGGGGAAGATGTGGATGTTGTTTAAAGGCTGCAGATTGATGAGGAGTGGATTCTCTTTGGTTTGAGAGGCTACTCTGGTATTTTTTGCTTCATGTTTTTGGCAGAGTGTGAGCTCCAGATTGCAGCACAGCTCGGTGCGCCAGGCTTGGGGGGGCGAGGTGAGAGCAGCGTAGGAGGCAGCAGCACTCTCAGTGAGAACACTTCGACAAACTGACACTGGTTTAGATATTATGGAAAGTGGACTGTGGCAGGATACATCAAACACTGAGCACGGACTGATGAATCAACATCCTAGTTTATAATTTAGTGCAACACATGTTGGAAACTTGACCGTTGCATATTCTAAAAACATTTTGGTCCCAAGGTGGCTGAAATATTGTTGCACAAATTTTCCAAGAAAATAAACACCAGGGAGGGAGCGAACATTACCTCACTAAAGATAGAGTCCGTTAGCATGTGTAACCATGAGCACAGTAAATAAGCTTTTGTTGTTCATGTTTGTCATAGCATTTCATGATGTCACCTATTAGTATGTCAACAACCATTTTGGTAGTCTGTAGTAACCATGTTGGTTTTTCTGGAGCCAGTGATGACCATGTGTGGGGCGGCAGTACCTCAGCATGTAGGGACTTATGTTGGGAACCAGAGGGTCGCCGGTTCAAGTCTTGTGTTGGGATCAGAGGGTCGCCGGTTCAAGTCTTGTGTTGGGATCAGAGGGTCGCCGGTTCAAGTCTTGTGTTGGGAACCAGAGGGTCGCCGGTTCAAGTCTTGTGTTGGGAACCAGAGGGTCGCCAGTTCAAGTCTTGTGTTGGGAACCAGAGGGTCGCCGGTTCAAGTCTTGTGTTGGGAACCAGAGGGTCGCCGGTTCAAGTCTTGTATTGGGTACCAGAGGGTCGCCGGTTCAAGTCCTGGTGCGGACTAAAATATGGAAGTTGGTCTGGTAGCTGGAGCGGTGCCAGTTCATTTCCAGAGCACTGCCAAGGTACCCTTGAGCAAGGCCACAAGTGGACACTTAAGGAACTACAGTTTTTTTTATACTCACCAGCTCTGGAGGATGATGCTTCTCGTTCACACTCCTCTTTACTTTGTTTGACTCACTTTTGGAAAAAGCCTCAAGTGGCCATCCGAGGAACTGCGGCTTTATTGACACAATGTTTGCTCTGTTTTTTTATACCCATGTTGGTGCATCCTTTGCTTGTTCCTCTTTCAGTGCATCACTTTCTCCACCTCTTAATCTTAAAACAAAAGCTTACAAAAGAGAGAGTCAAGCACAGAGAATTTAAATTGCCATTTTTATTTCCTTAGAATACAAAAACATTGGTTAAATATAAGCTCTGTTGCATAACACATTGCACTTCTAATCGTTTTCAGACATTAATAAAATAGAATTTTATCCTTTTACAAAACAAAGCTCTCACTTTTCAATCATTACCTCTGCTGTTTTTCTAACAAGTACCGTATCATTCTGAGAGCATTTTGGACATTTTTGCATAACAAGTGTGCTCAAACTATCGGACAGCTTTTCTTCTTTATGTTTGCTACACAAACTGTATCTATGGGACCAGTTGTGCTCTGGAGATTCAAGTCATTTCATATGTTGCATAAAGGTTCAAACGGACACACAGTAACGTAAAGCCAGGCGTTGCATAGGCTTCTGTAAAACAGCGGTTCTCAACTGATGGGTCAGGACTTAAAGTGGGAGCCTTTTTCAGCAGGTCGCAGATAAGTGCCTGGAAAGTGCCAAAAAGTCTGCCCTAACATTTCCATCTCTTTGTTCTGTCTTTTGTGACAGCACTGAGCTCTGAACTGCACTATTGTTCATCAATTCAAGATGATTGGTAAAAAATTTAGCAGGAAATGATGTCACGATTTCTCAATAAGGAGTTGGCGGCGCGTCCTGAGGCTCGACCAGCTGAGAACCACTGCTCTAAAGGGAACATGTGCAGAACATACGAGCAGTGCAACAAACAGCAGCACCACTCAGCCTCATTATTGATTCATAAAGTACAAACACACAAAACATTATATTTAAACTGGTTATATAACTGTTATATATACGGTTATACAGATTGTTGGCTGTGATGCTTTATAAAGCTACATGTTGAATAAATACATGTGGTAATGGCACTGAGGAAAGATGATTACATGGATGGTTACATAAAGCTTTAAGGCCGTGATAACTGTAGATATTTGATAGTAAATCATGCTACAAGTTTCTATATTTACACATTAAGAGTTAATGGTTATTCTGACCAATTGGGGGTGGGGGGTGGGGGGGGTTAATGGAGGGGGTGCAAATTAATCTTTGTGTCTGTATCTTTAAACGTACATCTCGTCTGTTGTTTTTGTTTTCAGGATCCTCATCAGTCAAACTGTGTCTGAAGCCTCTCATGTAAAGCTAGCTTAAAGTTTTAACAGACTTCTGCCAGCAAATCAACAAGTTCTTTCTGAAAAGAGCCATGTGGCACTAAAGATGAGAGGAGGGGTCACTTTCTGCTCTTTAACCAATGAAACGAGTCCTGATGAGGAAGGAAAACTGTGAGGGGAAACTTTGGAAGATGTCCGGACTTATTCCTCCTGACAGTATCTGGACTTCCTATGTGATGTATTTAAAGTGACACAGCAGCAACAGTTCTAACATGTAGATAAAAAACAGTATATTTGGACGGCACCTGAAGATATCTTCATTATTTCCCTGCGTGGTTGATTATTTCTGAACAGTGATAACGGTGCATCAGAGCGTATTACTACATACCCTGGAGCAGAATGGAGAACATGGTATGTTGCTCGTGAACACAGCTTCAAAACGGACTTGATTTGGTTCCCCTGACAATAGTGAACAGTCAATAATACATAAATAAAGAATAAACCGCCGTAAAAGGTAAAGTATGTGTGTACGTGGAGGTGTTTGGGTGTATTTTTAGGAGTGTGCGTGGTGTGAAAAGAGTGGGAATGCAGGATAAAAGAGCAATTTGGAGCTATTTTTGGGTTTGCACAAAGAAGGTGACTGCCAACGTTTACAGCTCGGGCTTTGGCATCAAACGCGCACGGTGGTCCAAGAACATGCCGGAGGGAGGGACGGGGGGATGTTAGACGGCTTTCCAATTGTTTTTCACTGGAGGTTTAGACTGAGAAAGAGACGGATCGCCGTGGTCGAGCCAAAGCGGCACCTCCAGAGAGGAAACAAGGCCAACAAGCTCTCATGAGACGGAACAAAGAAAAGTGCTGCAAGAGGGGGGTATGAAAATCACGGACACCTTATTCCTGAGTCAATATCAGCAGATTAGCTGCAATGAATTCAGGATAAAAATAAAGAGATAAAGAGTGACTGTCTAAAGCTAACCGTGTGAGTCACACCTTCTCAGACAGAGTCAGGCGGGTCTGGGTTCTTCAAAGTACATTCTGCAAATATTTAACAGATATGAAAGCTGTTGAATCCTTCTCAAATATTATTGAGAGTGTTGCATGTTATTTCTGAGGTCATGTGTTTAACTACAGTACACGAGCAGGGAGAGACACTTTAAAAAACATCAGTCAAAGATTTAAAGATCATCCTCAGTGAGGAAAGGTAAGGCATAAAAGTAATGGAGGACGTATCGAGTCATCTTGTCATTAAAATATAAACATCCATAACACTGCGTCTCGTCTAATTGCATACGTTGGAGTGTAATTATAACGAAGAGTTTTCCGGTTACTAAGGCTTTATGCAAAACAACCTCAATTTATTCTTGAAACTGAGTTTTTGATGCAAGGAAAAAATGCAATAATAAACATAATAAAGTTTCTCAGACAGTATGACAGCATGTGTGTTTTTGTCCTGATGGCAGAAATCAGCTGCTGTAAATCTCCTTCCTTTGAGCACTTTTGACACTTTGACATTTCTCATTTTGTTGCTTTTCATTCACTTTGTCTCTGAATAAAATGTCCTCTCTGTCAGTCATGTGGCATCGTTTTGACGCGAGTCGTATTTTAGAAAGTTGGAGCATGATGAGCCTGAAATGATGGAAGAGGTGGAAGCTCGTTCCAGAAACAGAGGTAAGAGGGTCGTGGTTGGCGTCTCAAAAATAACAAAAACATTCACAATTAACAGGATGGACTCAGTCTGCGAGTGGTTGCCATGGTTTCTTCTTTTTTTTCTGCTTCTTGGCAGATTTGCAAACCAACTATGTGCATACTGCCCCCTGCTGTATCAGACTAATGTGAACTCAGACCAGCGAGGGAGGGGGGGAGCTATGAACGTCTAATGTGAAAGCTCTGACTCAGTTACTACGGTAACTAAGTCTGTGAACCTGGACTTGACTGCAGCAGGTTTTCTTCAACGAAACCTTCAAACTTTCTCTCTGACTCCTCCCTCCTACAGAGCCAGAAACGCGGTTCAATTTCCTTATTCATTCATTCAGAATGTACCACACGTGTGTTAGCGGAGTTCACCGTTTGTCCAGATGTTTTTATGTAATCTGTTCGGTACGCTGTATAAAATGTAGGCTACTTTTTTGTCCAACATGACGTCATATATTTTCGAGGAGCCTATCTTTTAATGGGGCTGCATTTATTACTCTGAAGGGTGTTACATTTAAGTCAGGAGAAGTTAATTTAATTAGGCGGAATTAGCTTAGTAGCATATTTCGCCAGGAAGACAATGGTCACTTTGGTTTACACGTTAAAGCTTCTACAGTTTCATTAGCGTACTCTGAAGGAGTGTTGCGTTCGATGGAGTCTTGATTGTTCTTGATTCTTAAGTTTAAGTTTGGATCAAGATTTTCAAGCTGCAAATAAAAATGTTTTGGGTGCAGAAGTGTTGAAGCAGAACAAACAGAAAGATCCAGAAAACGTTGGATGTGTCGTTTGCAGATGTGCGTGCTACTCGAGGTCGTGTTTCCTTCATTGATTGTGTTGCATAAAGATAGTGATGATATGAAATGTTGTGATTTTTTCTGATTGAATGACACCGCAAAGGAGTACGTTTTTGTTGCAAAGGAACACATGGTCCTGTCTGTCTTCTGTTAAAGTCTTACATGATGTAGTTATAAAGTAAACCTTTCAAACTCAAGCTATGGAAGTTAAATATTACTTCATGTTATCCAGGACCAGAGGGGGGAGGGGGGTTTCTTAAGTGGGTGGGGGTCCGTCGTAACGCAGCATGATGTTGAAAGATCTGGCGAAGTTGTTGGAGAGCGAGCAGCTGCCGCCTTCGTCCATGAGGGGCAGCAGGAAGGCGAGGAGCAGCAGAGCGAGGAAGAGGAGCCACAGAGGAAGAGCCAGGCGACACACCCGATGACACAACCCGGGCTTCTGCAGACACACGGGGAAAAGAAAACACATGAGTGCACATAGAAATATATTGTGTAGTATGAAGGTTTACCATTCAAAGAGCGGATCTGTGCAACAGAAGTCCACTTACACGGGTATTCTTTCCATTTTTTTAGGTCATTTTTTGAAGTATTTTTAACATTTTATATCCTTAAAGGAGCAATATGTAACTCTGACACCTAGTGTTTAAAATGGGTACTTAATTCAAAACATTGTAGAGAGCTCTCCCCCTGCCCCCTCCTCTCTAGAGTCCATGCTCACGCAGGTTGCCATGTGGTGGACACTGAAGCTTCAGTGTTTATCCAGCTCTGCATCGGTCTGTAAACCTTTCTGTGTTCTAACCTCTCTCCATTTTTCAAAAGCATCTCCAATATTGATCCTAGTTTGAGCACGTTTCTGCTCGTGGAGCTTATTAGAAACATGCAGAGGCTTTTTAGTTCGGGTACAATCACTTCTATCTGAACCACTTCTCTTGCCCACTTCCATCACTGCAACACCTGTTGGTTTGACCTTTGCCTTGAAAAGCGAGGGGCTACATACAACATCCGTACGCAATAATCGATTATGTCATCTCATAAATGAAAGTGCAAAGACTACAAAGGCTTTAATCCTGAGAAGACTTGAATTCTTGCCTTCCTTAAATATCTGTAGATTGAGCTCTATATTGGAAACATCACTGTGTGCTTCTGCTGCTTTATTTCCTGCATATTGTTTGGAACTTTTTCATTTGTCAACATGGTTGGAATTCAGCGTGCATTACCTCACTGATGTGATCATTTAATAGTGATTCTTTTGCTCAGAAACACAGGAAACCATTTTGAAAATGACAGATTTTGTTGTCCGCACACTCACAGATCCACAGAGAAAAAGTGTGTTTGGTTTGAGACCGTCGGAGGATGAGAGCGGCAGCGGCAGCAGCAGCAGGAGCAGCAGCTCGCCCACACACTCACAAACATCATGTACCAAACTACAGTGATGAAGCTCAGGCTTGCAGACTCTCTCTCACAGATTTGTTATTTTATGAATCATTTTTACTGCCTACATTCATCTTTCACTTCTGAACTCTGCCTCATTAGAAACATGATGGATGAATATCTACACAGGATGAGCATAAAACATCAAGTAACAGATGGTTTTTTGTAGAATTAGTGTGTGAATGTTGTTTGTTTAAACTGACTTCACTTACAAACCCTCGTAAAAACACTGGATCTCCTGAGGTCGGTAAAGTACAGATGCAGGTGAGATATTAAGTATGCACATAATAATAACAACTTGATCTGTTTGATGGTAAAACAAAGTTAACATCTATTTGACGTTAATTTGATTATTATGACATTATTTAAAGGAGCAATATGTAACGCTGATGCCTAGTGTTTAAAATGGATCCTGCAGTCTTAATTCTAAAAACTGTAGAGAGCTGTCTCCCCCCGCCCCCTCCTCTCTAGAGTCGATGCTCACACAGGTTGCCATGTGGTGGACACTGAAGCTTCAGTAGAAGCTTCAACAGTAGTAGCTACAAACCAAAACATGACTACATAACAAACCAAACAATGTTTTCAAACAGAGTCTGTCTGTCAGTATGAACAACAGGGACAGAAGAAAGAGTGTGTGCATACAGTGTGTGTTGCACTGTGTGTGTGTAAGGGTTAATGATTGATTGACTTATTAAGACAAACACTGTTTGTCTAACGGTGTTTCTTTAAATCAGCTCAAACAAACTCTACTGACCCAAAGTAAGAGAATGCACCGTTAGAGTAGTACAAGTCTTTCCGTGTGGCCACTCACGGCGCGGGGATCAGAAATGAGAGCATTTTTTACAGCGTGCCGGTCATTCCAAAATAAATAAAACTGTCTTCATAAAAATGAATTTTAAGTAACATGAGTTAAGCTGCTAAAGTCAGAAGTAGCAGCTACATGTTCAGTTAATGACCCTGGTTACGAGAAAGGAAAATGTAAATAAAGAGCACATCTAGTCAATAAAACCTCCCTCCCCCCTCCGGAAGATAAAGACTGATTTAAGCAGCAGCAGAAAAAAACGTGTGAAAGGATTGAGGAATGTCTGCAGAGCTGCTTCAGAAGAGGGCGTCTGAGGGGTCAACAGGGTGGTCATGGAGGGAGGGGGGCATTCTTTAATCTGCTAACCACCCACTGCTTACTAAATGAATGGTGGGGTGGGGGGTGGGGGCTGGGGGTTTTATATGCGTGACTTGATACCAGTGCTGGGTGGTCAGGTGTTTGGGTCTTTATGCTAAAGAATGAAGGACAGAATTTTGTTTAGAGGTTTAAAAACAGCACAAATATTTTGAATTTGCGCAGGTATGTTCCTCCTCTCGTAGTCTTCATTGAACAGAAAGAATTAACTGGAGAACCTAGTTTTTAGTATCAACAGCAACAGGATTCACAGATTCAGCAAGAGTCCCCCATGGGAAGTTTCTGTGCAGCTGTGTAGCTCTTTTTTTAGTGTCACTTGTTTTCACCATGTGGAGTTTGTAATCCTGCTAACTAACGATATATTAGTTGAGCTCTCGGCCTAAGACAAACGAAGTCCGGACCCACAGCCTGTGATTAATTCAACGAGAATTGCACAACCCACTTCCGCTTGTCACAAAAGAAAAATATTCAGGAAAGAAGCTCTTAACATGAACCTACAATTACTGAGAATGTTGAGAATGAGAATCAGACAACAATAGCATCTGTCCCAGGTGTTTTATCAGACTGACCCTGAAATAATCATCATGCAGAATCAATGGTAACAACCTTTGACCATTACATGTTTGTCCAGTCATGTGTACTCATTCTCTTTTAATAAATAAAAACGTTTTTTCTACCTTTTCCACCTTTGATGCCACGTCTGGCTGTTCCTGTTTGGCTTTGAGTCTCTGCAGAGAAAGAAAATATTCAAAATAATTCTCAAAGTTCACGTCATTTAAAACCTCTGCTCGAAAATAAAAACACTGAAGCCATGCACTAGAATATCATACTCAAACCACGCTGGAACCCTTATGACTACTGATGGTTTGTTTCTAAATACAAATAAAAACAAGTTTCATATCATCATCTGGGTTTTTTTGCTTGTCTTGAAACAAACAAACCATACTTAGCTGTACAAGCATTGCTCTGAGTAATGTTACACTGCCACCTTGTGGTGAAATATCATTACTGCACCTGGAGGAGGAATCCCCGACATTAAATGTGTCAACAGCAAAGACTTCAAACATTAAAGGAGAAGGCTCTGTTGGCCTGTAATCAGAGCCTGAAGATGTGATCGAAAGATGAGATCCACACACGTAGTGATCTAAGTGCTGGTTCACCAGACAACTGTAGTAAAAACACAAAGCTGGACTACAGAATCTCTGATGCATATTTCTCTTTGCCTGTCTTTGAGCATTTTGTTTTTTTCAGCTTTCTTTTCTTCGTTACTTTGTACTCTGTAATGTTTGCATCAGAATTTGTATTGTGAAATAAAAAATGCTGATTGGCAGATTGGTACAAAAGGCGTTTTGATATGAAGGCTGGACTCTACAATAAAACATTTTCTCCTCTCACCTTAGCACCGGTCCTCGTCCTGAGCTCTCCCATGTCCTTCAGCTTGGACTTGTGCAGCATCCAGCGGTAGCGGAGTTCTTCCAGACTTGCGTCCTCTGCAGGTCCAGAACCGTCCTCACCTCCCTGCCTCTCCTGAAGCAACAGCTGGAACTGCTCCTGACCCCAGACTGCTCCTGCCCTCAAAGTCTGAAGCAGGAGACGACACAGAAACAGAAGGTATAACGGACCAGGACAGAAGGCTTTCTCATGTCTGTACAAAATGCACTTAACTTTTAATTATAAGTAGAGATGCACACTTCTTTAAAGCTAGCTTAAAATCGGATTCTTCAGCAGGAACAGCCACTTTGTTGTGTGTAGCAGAATTTAAAAGAGGAAAATCTGTCTCTTGCAATAAGAAGGAGCAGTCGTGTGGACTTTGCAGCACAGAGTCATGAGCGTTGTTACAGTGTGATGCTCACTTTATGAGTCCAGAATCAAAAGGAAACATGCCGGACACAGTCCGTGTAGTTGCAAGCAGTCACCATTAGGTGGCGCTAAAGAACAAACTATAGAAGAGTCCAACACTGTGAAATTGGAAATTATGAGAAATGACAGATGCAACACTATACACACCAACACTGATTAATACATCAGTACAATTGAATCAGAGACAAATATTTAAGTCAATGGGATTCAGGGCGTGTAAAAACTTTCTAAAAAACATCTACCAGGGTGACCAAAGTCCTTCCCTCACATCTCATCTGAAAATGAGAGCTGGTGTCCCTCAGCTGTTACTGTTTTTTCCAATTGCTAACACACTAAAATGACATGCATAGCACAATTATTTAAACGGACACACAGAGAGCCAAACCTCTTCTCAAGTCTCCAAAAATCTGAACACATTTTCTGCTTTACACACATTTTGCAATTCAAAATGGCACTTTTTAAATGCACTGAACACGGTTCTCTGCAGAAGACACAACAATCAGACATAAAGTCACATGTTTGCCATTTCAAAACACTGCCATTCAAAATGACACTACATGAGCTAATTGTCCAGTGTATGTGCCACCTGGCTAAACACCTCAATGGTTAATTGTTATCACTTCAATCAGGAAGTAAGCACTATGAAAAGACCACAAGTGAGCCCCCTTTTTTTTTTTTTTTACAACAACAATGAAAGAGGTTGCAGAGAGAGGAAGAGGGAGGGTGAGAATGAGAGGAAGAGGAAGAGTGAGAGGTAGGGGTAGAGCTGGTAGAGGAGTTCATGGCCAAAGAAGACAACAACTTTCAAATGAAATCAGAGCAACCTTAGTTGATCATGACATCATGGGCTGACAATGCGAGAGGCTGGACAGAGAGTGCATCCCAACTTGAGCCGTTTTATTGTACTGGTATATGTTGCACTGACTTGTTTGGCGAAAAATAAAAATGTTTCAACACGTGTGTGTATCTGCAAATATTTCTGTGCATGTGAACAATCTGAACAATTTTCTACAATTCAAACTATTTTAGTATTATGGCAAAGCATACTAAAGATGAGTGTGCTTTTCATTATGCTCAACAGTGTGTAGTTGGTTAGACAAAAATCTGGTAATATGAATGAAGTGTGTGCCATTTGGTGCAAAAGTTAGATTTTGATAATGCTATATGTAGTTTTGGTTGCAGTGCTTCATTTTGCAGGATATATGAGGTATTTTGCAGTTTGGGTGTGTGGTTTTGTGAATTGTGTTAAGTATTTTGATAAAACCAGCCTAGTTTGCAAAATTGTGTTTTAGCAATTGGAAAAAACTGTAAAACCATCCTGAGTGTTCAGACAGAAACTGACCTTGAGTTTGTCCTGTCTGATCTTGAGTTCTTTGGCGCTGAGCGTTGCTGCCTTTGTGCTGAGGATCCCTGAGAGGAGTTCACTCTCTCTGGACAGCCAGGCCTCAAACTCCCACCTCCTGCAGCTGTACTGCCCCTCCAACCCCTTTAAAAACAAACAAACACTCATAAGATACTTTAAAGGGCACATCATGTCAAAAGATCTGGGATGCTTGCTTTTAATTTCTCAAGTAGTTAAATATACTCGTGGCTAAAAGTGCACTCTGTGGTGATAAAAAGCGTGACTTAGCTTTTGCCTACTTTTGATTTCTTTCCATTGTAAAATTGCATGGAGTAATGTTGCTTTCCTTTAAATACGTAACGCAACTTTTTCACAGTTAGCCTGTTTTTTGGATCAGTTAGGACTGTTTTTTTCTGTGTGCATGAGTTTGTCATTAAAAGTAATTACTTTTACAAGGGATATTTTGCTACTCTGCAAAGGGGCTGTAAGGGAGAACAGTTGTTTAGAGTAAGCACTGCACAACAATACCATTGTTTGCTGTGTTGTTGGTGGTGGAGGTGGTGGTGGTGATGATTTCTTGGCTTGGTCCCTTCTGAACAGAACAAATGCTCCTCCTCCTCCTCCTGGACTAAATGTTCTCCTGCCTCCATGCTGCTGCTTCCTCCAGAGCTCATTCTTCCCCCCTCACCACCGCTGACCTTTGTGGTCAACGATGCTCCCCCTGAGAATCCGGACAAGATGCCACTGTCGCCCCCTGCTGGTATATCCCTGTCAGGACTCCCTGCAGTTGAAACTTCTTGAGCCGCTCTGCTGTGTACACTCCAAGCAGAAGAATCCACTTCATCACCTGTAAAGGAGTGGCTGCCAGCTTTATCTGTCCTTGATTGGCTGAGCTGCTCACTACCCTGTCCAGCCAGACGGAGGCCACCTTCTCTTTGACCCTGGATCCATCCACCTTGCCCCATTAGCCCCTTCTCCCCTGCACGTCCCTCCATGCTTCCTCCTCCCCCAGACCCCGAGCTGCCCTGGAGACCGTACACCTCTGCTGGATTGTCTTGTTGTTGGACCCTGGAGCCTCCAGCCATGACCTGATTGACCCCTCCCCCCAGACTCAGCTGTGTTTTCAGGGATAAGTTGTGTGGTGAGAGGCCTCCAGCCCTCCATGAGTCAGACTCCATGGAGCTGTTTAGCAGCCTGCGAGAGAAACAAAGAGAGAGTATTTTTATATCCCACTGCCTGTAATGCATCAACAATCACAAAGAGAGCGGAACACAGAAGTTCTATAATTCATCTCTCGTTTTTCCTCTTGATATAAAACTTTGAGCAACAATAAACTAGCAGTCAGGCAGGGACTTATTATGTTGTTGTTTTGTTTCTATGCAGTCATTTATATTCTCTGCCACAACCAGCCCAAACACTGCAGAGACGGAGTTTAAATTGGTTGGGAATAAAGGTTTCAACAAGCAATCTGAAAAGAGAATCTAAATTAGAGTTTAAAGCCTGGTTTAAAATCCCACTAGGTGTCTTGGTGGCTGCATTGATTTAATGCTGTAAAGCTTTCAGGGAGAGCAAAAGTCACTGAATGACAAATGTTGAGCTGTTGTATAATATATACTGTGTGTGTGTGTGTGTGTGTGTATGTATATATATATATATATATATATATATATATATATATATTTTTTTTTTTTAATTACGGGCCTGTGCCATGGCCATGCAAACATTTTTAAACACGTCTTATTTTATGTATCCCAGTGCCTTGAACTATGTGAGTGATGTGTAATTAGTCTGTTTAAAAAAAATAACTCAGTTCCTGGGGTGTCAGTGGCCGAGTGGTCAGTTTGCACAGACGTTCAAATCCGACCTGTGGCTCCTTTCCCGCATGTCATTCCCCCCCACTCTCTTCCCCAATTTCTGACTCTATCCACTGTCCTGTCTCTCTAATAAAGTCATAAAAAGCACAAAAATTAATCTAGAAAAAAAAATTCTGGCAATCTGGACATCAAAACTTATCTTGAAATGACAAATTATTCCGCTTCAGAAACGTATGAATAAAACAAATTAAGTGTCCGCACTGCAAGAAAGAAAAGGCCTGTGTTTTCCATAAGCTCTGAACTGCCATACATTAAAAATGATTTGTATTCTGTTCTATACCGATGAAAAAAGCTTGCTATACGTCAGTGAAAAAACGTCTGTTGGACTTCAGAGTAACCAAAAGAATCATTGCCACAAACATGGCTACAAAAGTTTGAAACATTACTAAAGTTTCAAACTGCTCATTTTGACACTGATTATTGCTGAAGCATGCACTCTTCCATGCTGCAGGACCATATAGTGTTTCTGTGGGGTGTAAAGATCTCATCGTGTAAAGAGAAAAAAAGAAAAAGAAAAACCACACCAGTATTGCCATTTCTCTCTCTACCTGTCAAGATTGAGACTCATGTTGTAAAGGGCCAACCAGGACTCTCGTAGGCGCTTCATGTCTCGGATGATGTGGACTCGTCCCGCCTCTGAAGTCCTGTTCAGAACGCCCTGACCCTGAGCCTCCATCTGCTGCAGCTGGAGCTCCTTCTCTGGAAACTCTCCCAGAGCTCTCTGTGGACATCAGCAGGGTTTAACGAGGTTAACGCACACTTCAGGTATCAAGCTGCCACCTCCATGTTTAACACTGAGATGCTTTGGAGCAGAGAAACAAGAGGAGCAACGGTCAGGCTGTTGAATACAGCTCTGAAACACTTGCACATTTGCTGCAGCATAAGAAAGCTGGAATATATTTAAAACCTCTGTAACTCATTTCCTGTTGTCAGTGAGTGTATATATGATTCTCTGACTCAAACATCAGTCTGTTCAGAAATACTTTTCTCCGCTCCGGTGCTCTCGTGGTGCATGTTTGAGCCTGACTGATGGCTGTTTAATTATATTATACAACAATGAATTATTAGCTTTTTTTCCCATAGTGCAACTGGTATTTAATATCCATTATAAAGTTCAGAACGTAAAAGCTCCTCAGCAGTGTAACAGCCACCTTTAAAAGTGCAGTGTTTAAATGTTAACGAAATGCAAAAGTGAAGAATCTCCCCCTGGTGGTGGTGAGATTGGCAGGAAGGTCGTTGTAATTACTAAAAGTCTCTTGGTATTCTCATTAAAATTCATGGCTGCAGGCATCACTTAAGGTCACAGTGAGCTGCCATCAGCTCTGACACAGAGCCGGCGGGATGGAAGGCTACACTTCAAGAGACGTGAAATCAAGAGAAAGGGGAAATGGATGTAATGAATTGATTAGTTTATCCATCATGAACCCAGACCCCTGCAGCTCTAGACTTCCTGAATTACAGTCACAGAGCTAATGCATCATAATGAAACTCTCATCCTTCGCTGCTTCATTTGACACTTTTAATATTGTTCAAATTAGCAGATTGATCGGTTAAATCTTTCTCGTGTTGCATGAACTTGTTGAAGTGAAGTTTAAATAACAGAACTTAAGGATGGGGTCACATCATAGCATAGATTTCATAAGCTGTAGTGTTAGACAGTGAGACATTCCGTTTAGAAAAATGTCATTAATTTGATGTATGAGAGATGTAAATGCTCCATGACACTCCTTTGCAGTTAGGTGTAAAAACACACCTGAGCCTCGTGCTGGCGTCCCTCGATGCTCCAGCCTCCTGATTGGCTGTGGAAGGACTCCAGCTTCTGCTTCATGATCATCAGCCACTTCTCGATGTTTAGCAGACTTTCATGGAAGCTCTCGTGGTCAGCAATGCTCTTTTCACTCTCGTGAACCTTACTCTGCAAACAAAGGAAAACGTCAAACAGATTTAGAAATCATCCACTGCACAAGAGGTATCTGCAGCACCTGTGACTGTGTGTTTACAGTTTTTTTTTTACCCCTGATATTATTGTTTATGGTGTTGTTATTTAAACTTTCAACATTATATCTATTGAGTTTTTTCTGCAGGCCGTATTTGAAGATGGCTGACGTCAAAGCTCTCCTGACACAGCTCTCCTGTCTTACCCGGACCTCCTTGTGCAGATGTTTCCAGTCTGCACAGAGTCTCTCAAACTGAGTCCTGTTGCTCTGACTGGACGAGACCAGAGTCTCCAGAGCTGTGATTTGGGCATCACATTCCTCCAGGTCCTTCAGGATCACCTGAGGAACCATGAGACACACAGTGTGACGCTGTTACCATTGAAATGACACAACTGAGGTTTCAGTTTGCAGTGTAGCACAACCCTTTATAGTGAAGAAATCAGTAAAAACTTTATGGGTACTGAGCTAAAGTTTAATGGCTCTTCAGTCTGATTTCCATTGATAACTGAAATGAGTTGAAACCAAACTGCTACTGATCTTCTTGAGGGAACAACATGACAGTGTGCACATAGAGTTTTAGCCCAGGTGTGACTAGGATTAGACTCACCCTGAACTGGTCTGACTGGGATTTCTTGGCCAGGATGTCAGGCTGGAGCCTGTCCACGGCCATCAGTCGGTCCCTGAGGCTGGTCAGCTTGGAGCGAATCATCTCAGAGGCATCTCCAAAGTCCTTGGTTCTTGAGATTAGGCCCTGAGTGATACAACAATTCAAAAGGTGGATTGTTAAACAGATAGTCATGTCTGTCTGTCGTGTTGAGCCTACATTCACATTATCGCATTTCATTTTAAAGCATATACGTTATGTCCAAATATCTGCAGAGTATTGGTATCGGCCTGAAACTATCCCAGTTGAAGGATGATCCATATTTGCACATAACGTGGCATTCACTGATTTACTTACGTGTTGACTTGCATCAATTTAATGACGCAAAGGTAGTACGCCCCACGTTTTAATTTACTGTAATGTTTTTTCTTTTGGCCCTGATTTTCACATGAAGTGAATCCCTAAAATGTCATACAATCACACCACGCGCTGTGAGTTTGAAGAACTTCAGGGTTTTATTTTAGAGTGAACTCTCAGCCACAGAGATGTTTGTAAACATTGCACTCCCATTCGCTTGCTGGCTGTGTCTTATTCCACCCTGATTGGTCACTCTCCTATCAGATGACCTTCTTTAACAAACATCAGTCTTGACTTTCAGTCGTTACTTCAACATGAACCAACATTTAAAGGTGCTGTAACACTTGTTGTCTACAGTAGCTGCTGTTGTTTAGTTCGATTCTTGGTCTTGTAATGATTCTACTGCCTACAAGCCAGGCCCTCAATGGAGTGCTGCTCGTCTGTGTTTCTTTACATAATAACTTCAGATCCAACACAATACTTTTATAACACACAATTCCATAAACAAAGCAGCTAATCAGCCAGGAGCAGTGAAGACATTTGGTTTCCTGGGATGTAAAATTATGTTTTTGTTAAAGCAGTCTGGAGGCTTTGAAAAGACCGTAAGATGTAAGGGCTGTTTCTTGTTTTTAAAATAATCTTATTCCTTACAAATCTCTGTAAGGATCCTTTCTGTAATGTTGTTCAACACTGAAAATTTAATCTGAGCCTCTTAGTGTCAAAACAAGAACTTCTAATTTACCAGCTTTCATGATCTAAAGGTTATGCCGGATACGTTGGCAGTGTTCTACATGGTCTGGATAGTTCAGATATACATTTAAGATTTAGAGAGAGAGTACAATGTTGGCACCTGTAGTCTGCTCTTTCTCTGCTGCAGCTGATTGTGCAGCAGCTCTCTGTTCCTGACAGAAGAAGTCAGCTCCTCCTGCAGACCGTCCGACCTCTCAGGACCAAACACGGAGTCCAGCAGGTCGCCCTTCACCTGCAGCTGACCGAAACGCTCCTGCAGCTGGACGCTGTCCTTCAGCAGACGCTGACAGGAAGGACAGGAACAGAGGACACATCAAGTTTGTTGCAGCTTCACTCAGTCAAACCACACTTTCTCCAAGCTGCAGAACAGAACCAGTTTCATGCATGCACAAGTAGATGATCATAAAATTGCACTGTTTGCAGTTTGCATCTCTATTTTATTTTCATCAAGATCAAACTCTAGAAAATAACTTCTTACAGAATTTCACACAGAATTTTAACGACTATATAACAGTGATGAAACTCGAGCTCAAGCTTTGAGAGTTATTCATCTTTTCAATCTCTTAAGCAGGGCTTTTCAGTGAAAAAATTCTCTGTGACCCTAAGGGTTGGATTATTCTGATTCTAACAAAGTTGATATTGGTCGTCCTGATTGTTTATGGCATTGTGTTGATGTTGGAGAAGTTGAGCTAGAGCTGAGGGATGTAAGGCCAATGTTTCCTCACTTTTTTGGTGCACACTAACTCCCTAAAATAATATCCAACTTCCAAAATGTTAAATACTTCACTATATTCCCCACCTAGCCTCTACCTGAGACCCTCTGGTGTTGACTCATTAGCAGGGACTGTACAATGACTTTGTTTGACTTGCCTGCCCTACAGCTAAACACCAAGCTTTGATTTGTAAATACAGCTGAGGGGAGCTGCACATTCAGATATAGACACAGAGAAATATTGACATGTGATTGCTTTACCTCTATATTCTGCACCAACATAGCGATGTGGGAGAAGTCAGTGACGTCAGCAGAAGCCTCCAGAACCTGTGAGACCATGTGGCTCCACTGAGAATAGATCAGCAGAGGGTCCTGCAGGATGTTTCTCAGCCCGGACTCTGACTCTGAACACAGCCGAGTCGCTCGGCACTTCACACTGCAACAAAAGAACACAACATATTTGACATATACAAGAGAATTAAAAAATTGACTCATAGGTGGTCATTTTTAAAACGTGTTAGTAGATCAAAAGAGAGAACAATCCTTTACTTTCATGTAAACTTAAACCAAGAATGTAAGAATCGATGTAAGTATTCTTTATAAGACATCAAGTTCTTGTTCAGGTTTACACCCAACCAGCAACGTCTGGTTTTGAAGATGAAGCCAATGCAGAAGTGCAAAATCATGCAGTTCCTTGAGTGTCCACTAGAGGCTGGCTGCAGAAGCACCAGAAGTCACATACATACCACATAAAAAAAAAAACTGTAAAAAAATAAATAAAGGGGGGTCTGATTAGTTATTGTAATCACGGGCACACACTGTGAGGGGAGTGAATTTTTTTGAAGTGCTCTGTTTTGATTTTGAAAACAATACGTGTTATCCATAGTTAGGCCCCCAGCTGACATGATTGACAGGTGGGCGCATGTAATGGTTCATCATGAGTATAAAAAACCCGCCTCAGCTCCAGCTCTCAGTCTGTCGTTAGGTTGACTGAAAGTTAGACTGAGACAGGATTTCCAACATGGAGACTGCTGCTGATGAACCTCAGGAGCCCTCTGCAGGAACACATGCATGACGTCACTCAGGCTTCAAACATTTATATTTACCAGTTATCTTTGTACATAAGAAACATTTTCCTCTTAATCTCCTGAAAATCAAAGATGAACCTATTTTTAAAAATGATTGACATATTATTCAAATGAAATACAGAGAGGATAAAGTTCCTCAACAATCTCTAATTATTATTCTTAGCCAAGGTGGGCTGTTTCAGCGTGGAGTCGTGTCTAGACCTAATATTTCAAAGGAGGAGGAGTGTGGAACTTTAAAACACTTTGAAGAAATTGGCTCAGTTGTATTCAAAGCACGGTGAGACAGATTCAAAGTGACCACGACTTTAGAAGATCAATACGTCAAGCCGAGTTCCTCCACAGACGCCTGACCTCAGCCCCGCTGAACATGTCAGGGGACCGAGGAAGCCAAGCATCACAAGATGACTAAATCATGCTGAGATAAAGTGGGTCATTGAGGTCTGCACAACTTTTTGAAATCGATCCCAACTCAAGTGGATTCTGCCAATAAATCAGCATCGAGGTTTTAATGGTGGCATCACACAGATGTGATCATGTCTCTCTGACAGCTCGACACACAGGGAACAGTGACGGCTGGTAGACTGCAGAGGGGTTGGATAAGGGGTCAGACAAAACCAAAACCTGTACATGAGGAACTACTGAGGGGAGACGCTGAGGCACTATGGGCTAGACAGGCTATCAGAGATCACATCAGAACACCAATCTAAAGATACATTAAATTCATGTTTCCATCCATTCTTAAAGTCCATCCTGTCATGTAAGGGCATGAGCACACTTGATAGAAGTTGTGATTAGGAACAGAGAGGGCTGACATCTTCTTTTTGCTTGCTCATCACATCATCTGTCTTCTGCTCTTGACGTTTATGCCAAATGTTCGGCAGTGCTCATGGCACCGTTACAGGGTTGTTCTTCATAATATACACGAAGCTGTTTAACAGTCCAGTCATGTTTGGACGTAGTAACGGTGCCTGCTTTATATCTAGAAAACCATTCTGACTGCTTCTTTCCCACCAGTTTTGTATATTTTCCAGCTCTTATTTCTATCAGTCTTGTGTTAAAATTCCAAAATTCAAGCTGCTTCCACATGATGTGGTGATGCATGCTAAATACAGGGAACAGCTTTTCTTATCTAATGTGCCTTTTACCTGGTACAAATCTGCTAATTTACTGACACAAAAGCCTCCCAGAAAAGCACTTTTCTTCCACTTTGCTTCACAGACGGCATCAAGATCTCCTCCAGCATCTTTTAATTTGTTCTGAATCACACAAATGGTCCTCTGAGACGAAGTTTTGTCCGTCCATAACACTTATTTCCCCCTGACGTCTTCGTTCTTTTGCCCATCTTAAAACTTCACTTTTTATTGGCCAGTCTTTGATAAGCTTTTTATTTCCTACTAGAAGGACAGCATCAGTTTGACGATGAAGCTGCTGTTTTGGGGGGAAACATTTAATGAAGCTGCCAGAGAAGGACCTGTAATGTATCCCTTTCTCAAACTACAGACTCGGATCTGAACTTGTCTGCTTGTTCAGTTGTGCACTTGAATTTTCCAATTCTTATTTCTTATTGGACAGACGAGTAAACCATGTATGTGATATATAGTTTTAACAAGAAAAGAACAACAGTATTTAAGATTTGAAAGTCTTCTTATCAGAGAAACTGAAACTGTATTTTTTACAGTAACCATATTTGATCTATTTTCCTGCTGTCTATGGATGTGCTGCTTTATGATAATACCTAACCTGTCTTTACCAAGGTGTTTGCATAGTGCATGTAAAAGTGGCAGAAGTTGAAAGTCCCTGTTCAGATATTTCCCTGATTTCTTTGTGAATATTTATAATAGTATATCCACTAGGTGGCAGATTAGGACCAAATGACTCCATTCTGGCATTTGGACCGTGTGACTGTAAATATAACTAAACATGGAAACAGCTACAGAGCGTACTCAGGTGAGTTCAGGACAGAAAAAAACAACAACAGCAAAGACGAGCTGTATTAGATTCTCTTCAGAGCATTTTAACATTTTTCTCTTGAGTTGTTCAGAGTCTGCTGCTGACCTCCCTTCACACCCTGACGGCCTCCACTCTTCATGGGCTTAATTACATGTTGAAGATGAATTTTGGATGTTGTGGGATTTCAGGGAAAGGAAGATTAAAGTCTTTTTTTTACAACACAAAGACAAGGCAGGACAAGATTTCTGTACAATGGTCAGAAATGTGGCAAATGACATGCTCTGTGTTTCGTCCCATCTAACCCGAACCTGTTTGAATATAGAGTGTGTGTCCGCTCCGCTGCAGCCAACCAGTGTGTGAAGCTTTGAAAAAGCTAAGGGCCTGATTCTCAAAAGGATTGGGTTGCTTTTGCACCAGCTAAACCTGTGCAGCTGAATCAAAAAGACGCAGTCTGATTAACCAAACACAAACAAAGGGCTTAATGCAGCACTTACAGCGCTACACAGCAGACAGCTGGACGCACAGAGACCACACAGCAAGGCTCCTTTATATTCAACTCGGATTCATTGCAAAAAGCATCTAATTCACAAACACCGGCACTTACAGCCAGAGTCAGAGTGATAAAAGATAACGTCTGCAGCTGGAGGTGATTGTGCTGCTATGTTTATAAGAGATGTAACGCTCAAACTTTCCACTGATCAGGGAAACAATTCCACCTGTTTTATCTGTATTTAAAGTCTGTATGACTTCAACATGACTATTATCAATATAATATAATAACCCAGAGTTCAATCAGTCCAGGGCTGTCGACACTTCATCCACACGTGTGGAGACGGTCTGGAGCCGTTACACATGATGAGGATGCGAGTGTTGCTTTTTCTCCCAGTCGTCTTTTCTTGGAGTTGTCCTATCTCTCACAGCCCCAGGCGAGAGAGCAGAATGTGATGCTGCCACACCACAAACCTCTAAAGAACAAATCAATCTGGCTGTATGTATGCCTTTCGTTAAGTACATTTTAGCACCAGATACTTTTGATATTTAAGCACATTTATAATTGGCTATTTTAAGACTTTTTAGCTTAGAAACTTTCAAATGAGGCATCTCTACGTTTACACAAGTATGGATTTTAAGTACTTTCCTAACACTGAGTTTATGTAGGACATGAAGCAGTTTCTGAAAATGAAGCAGGTGGATCACTTCTGTCAAATGCTCACAAATCTTTTGAGCCATTTCATTTGACTCTTTGTTGTTTTGACTGCTGAGGTTAGAGAAGACAAACCTTCTTGTGTAAGTCACACTTTTATCCACTTAACCCTGAGATGAATTTACCTCCTTCACTGTCAACATGAGGAGAACTGGATGACTCAACTTTGTGCAACACTTTTAACTTTCTTGATAAGCCGTCAACATTTTATCCTCCAGTCGTCTGGAAACAGGGAACACTTCTCTGCTCGCAGGAATGTTGAGATTGTTAATTCAGTTTTGAAGGACAGGGACTGTTTTGTGTGGATGGGTGATTATTTATCTGAGAGTAGAAAGATGACATTTCAATTCCCCCTAAGTCTACGCTCTCGGGCCTCTCTGGTGCAAATTATAGAGAACAACTAAAGGTCGAGCCATGACTATTCAGATGGACTCACTGGTATAATCATGATATCACCTGCTGAGTATACTAAAGAATCGACCTATGTGAATCGAATATGTGCTTCAAACAAATCAATGACCGGATTAGTCTAAATCTTCTACAACCAAACTAAAGTTAAGCTGAAAATATTAATTTGGACTTCAAGCTTGAGCAGTTGACACTTACTGATTTTTTTGTTGTATTTGTAGACATTCCTGCTATAACATTACAGCAATCAATACCTCAAATGCTCCAACAAAGAAAGAAAAAAGTTCTGCAAACTGTGGCCTAGGGCAAGGCTGCAATGATTTTCTCCTTCCAGTGGCTGTGTGCTCATTTGTGCTCACAATCAGACCAGCAACATCAGCTGTATAAATGGAGTTGGAGCACTTTTGGCTGCACGATTACAGATGTCTGTAAATAATAAAAAGCCAAATCATTAAGAGGTGATGTGTTCCCTTTTTTCTCTTCATATGAACCGTTTCACTTGATACAGCCAATGTCTGCTGCACAGAACTGCTTAGACTTCAAACTAAAACCAGAAGACTTGTGGCATCAAAAATCTCTTCTCTGGCATGCTTCCTTTCATTCATAACACTATCAACTCTTTTCCTCGTCTCCTGATGGGCAGGACCCAGATACAAGGACGGAAACACTCTTGCTGATTTAAATGCTAGCAAGGAAAATGTGTTTACTTCCCACTCAGGCATTGACACAAGCAACAGTGCGAAAGATAGCCAGCTCAAGAATACAGCTATAAGAAGTAGTGGCTGCATTAGTTGGGATGTCCAAACTAAACGTGGGAAAAGTTTCAGATCATGAGGTAAAGGTATGTCGGAGTAATTCAGTGCAGGTAAGTCTGCAGAGGGCGCTAGACGGCTTGTTCTGCAAATAACGCCATAGTTCCCAAATATTAAACCAAGAATTTAATGAGACGGCTTCAAGCCTCTTCATAAGCTGTTACAACCTCTAACATAGGCACTGGAGAGCAGCCATGCAGCGTTCTGCACCCGGAAAGGCTTCCAGAGAGCTGCCCAATCAGAAGAAAGTGGGCACGTAGGGAGGCCTTAATGAGACAGCGGCGGAAACTAAACCGTTTCAGGCAGTGGCTGAAATGAAGGTTTTTGCTGACGCCAGTATCAAATAAATCAGGATTTCTTTCAGCTTTGCAATCATGCAAAAATGCTCTATAGGTTTCTCAGACTGACAACATGGAAGGAGTAATATGAGTAAAATACAGGATTTTTAAATTAAATCACACAGAAAAGCAGATATCATGAATGTAAATATAATGCAGCCTCTGTAATCAGAGTGTGTGTGAAATCATGAATGATATTAGGATGTGTTTAAGACATTTAAGCACCCAGAAATCTTTAAAAAAAAAGAAAAAAAAAAGCTCTTTAAAAGTAAGATTTCAAAAGAATCATTTTCCAGCTTTCTGAGTCTTTCATGGGTTTCCATCTTTTCCTTCTTGTTTTGAAACAGCGTTAAGATTCCTGTCACATACCTCTGATGTTCTTTGACAACAGCCAGGACGTCATCAGAAAGATGTCGCGAGTCCTCCGAGAACCTGAAGAGCTCCTTCAGCTGAGCTTTGAGAAGTTCCACCTGGGACTCTTCTCCTGCCAGAGCATTCCTCACACCCTGCAAGACACAAGAATGAAACACCAAGTATGAAAGTCAGCAACAAAACAAACGGGGAAGTTTAACCGCAGAAACATCAGTCGTTTGTTTATTCAACATTATAAAACAAAACCATAACTCTGACAAGTTGATTTAGTTCCATTTATATTTGCTATGTATTACCGTACACAAGAGATGTTCCAAGCAACTTGTTTCCCTGTCGATAAAACATATTCAAAATCTGTCTAAAGATGTCGAAATTTGGTGCCAAACTTATTTAAAATGGCTAAAGAACTGTCCTGAACCATAATGCTTGTAGCTTATTAAAATTCTCCATTATCAAATTGAAGGCAATTATAAATGCTGATTAAATGTGGAGCACTTTGCAATGTGTGGTACTCCAAAAGTAAACAATGTGAAACTGGTTTGCCGATTGTAGCTAAAGTTTGCAGCGATAGCATCAGCCTGTGTTGAATGTGGTAAAGTATTGTTCCGGGTAAGTAGTCATATGCTGGTTTAACCTGACACAGCTGCTCCTGTAAATGGTAAATGGAAATTGTTACTTCTGATGGTCACTTTACATCGCAGCGTCTGCCATCTGTGTGGGAATGGGTGTGAATGTGTAGGTGTGACTCCTTCGCCTATTTTGCAGCTCCCTCATGTGTTTTGTATTTTTCATTCTGTGGTCACACACATTTCTCACACTGGACATTTTGATTAGCCACAGATAGAACATTACAGCAGCGCCTAATAAGAGCAATGAAGGCTCTGAACATTCAGTCATTCAGGCAGCATGCACAATACCACAGGCCTGAAAGTGACTCATGCAAATGGAGAGCAGACATTACACAGACCCAGCTACAGATGACTAACAATGAGTAACCACTATGGTATTATGAGAATGATTGTGAATGGATGTTAATTGGCAACACTAAATGATGCACATCCATCTTTCCTTCCATCAGCTGCAGCTGTGGGAAAAAAAAGCACGCTATAAACTCCATTTACAAATGCAACGATTAATTCTACTAAATACCAGCGATTAACCCTTCAACGTTTACATATTTTCTGTATGTTGAGAAGCTGTTTTTGCAAAAGGAATACATGCACTGCAGTTGTTGATAGTAAAAGTTCAATCCAGACCAAAATGTGATTCAGCTCAGTGACTCATTGGTGTCAGTGTTCATTAAATAAATAACACAGGAAAAGTCTAATTCACTGTGCTGCACAGTGACTCATCACACAGAGAATTATTGAGAGAGACACGCCCAGACTTCCTTTAATAAAACTGATTCTGACATAAAATAAGTGACAATAGGATTGTAGCTGTTGTCATGTAAATGCTACTTCCTTTTCACAGGAGAGTTTCCACATTGAGTTTTGCATGAGGAACAACGGAGAGGAACTGAGTATCTTGTAAAACTAGTTTTTCACACTCTGATCTGGTGTTCAAGACATTTACTAAATCATTTATTGAGTCTGAATATTTCAGGAGTTAATATGCTCTGAAATCGTAATACATTAATACATTTATTAAATGAAAGAGTAACTTCATTTCACTGGAGGCAAAAATGGGCCAGCTCATTCAGTGTTACATATGAATGATGAGATGACTCTTGGACTACTAAAAATATTTAATCCCTGATGTGGAAGACGATTAAAAAATGATTCTTAGTCCTCTGTCCCTGGAGAGATGTTGTGTCTATTCTTATCAGTAATACCTTGACAAATAAACGAGATCATCGTTAATGGAAAGAATCCGTCTGGATCGGGCCTAAAATCAATAAAATAATAATCACACCAACTCATCTGTTAAAAAGTTTAGGATGGCTTGTTTCTGAAATCGAGATATGCTGCTATAAACAACACACCTTTTTAAAGCTGGGGCATGAAAAATAGAGACACAGCTACTGTCAATATAGAAAACATGATATACAAAAGTATCCAACAGGAAAATATCAAAGCCACTCCCCAACATGCAGGTTCATGAGGAGCACAGAGCATCATAATCACAGCTGAACTGTATCAAGCTTCCTATCATCTACTTTTTTTCAGCACTTTATAAGCTTTAGATTTTAGAAGACTATGACCATAAGCAATGAGAGAGTGAGCAGTGTGAGCAGAGTGTGCAGAGATAAACAGACAGCTATTATGACAAGAGGCAGGTAAGCCACCCAATAATTCAATTTGGTCCAAATGATAGGTCTTGATGGACTTAAAACAGTCCTCCTGTGGTCACACATGCTCAAAGTTTTCTTTAATGCATTTGAATTATTGATGACATTTTCACATTTTACTAAATGTAACAAAAATGCATCCAAAATAAACGTCCCACCCTTAATTTAATAGGAACACACTGTATTTTCTTTAATGTTAAGGCCATTAGCAGAGCTTTTATCACAAAAAATTTGGCATTTCTTGTCATTACCGGATTGCAAATTCCAAGAGGTAAAAACACTTTGGCTACATATTTGCATCGTAGATGAAGTGGAGTTGTTTACAATCTTTAAAAAATAAAGTGAAAACAGACTGAGTCACAGGGAGGTGACAGTCTGTCGAGACTGCAGCAGATGACAGATAGATGGGTCCACATGTCATTTAGCATTCCAGTCACACCCTGCAGAAGTAGCTCTGCAGGTCCACAGGTACACAAGTCTTTCTCTGAACAGTCTCCTGCTGATTCTGTCCTTCACCTGTCACATACATATATACAAAAAGATAGAAAAGCTAAACTCTATGGGGGAAATCATCCACACGTTTATTCTCACTTTCCTACTACGAGGGTCTGCATATCAATCTATATCCAGAGCCAGACAAAGAGGATGATAAACCTGCTATTTGTGACAGTGCAAGGCGCTCGAGTAGAGGTAATACTCTGGCTGTGACCACACCTCTCCGAGGCATTCAGGAGATCCTCTGAAGTAATAAAGCAGCTTCACTGACAGGGCTGCAGGATTGTTTTTCCCGGGGGTTTGAGGGGGAGGGGGGGGGGCAGGTATGTGACATCTAGAGGTAGTAAAATGTAGTCTGATGGAGATAAAGAATCCAGTTTTCATGTCAGGGCACGCAGACATTATAAGCTCTGAGAGGGGACAAGAGGAGGAATGATGATTGTGTTTGGAGGAATCGTAAAGACGGTATCAAAAACTGAAGGAGTGCAACAATAAAGACTGTATGATAGCAAGAAAGACAGATGGAGTACAAGATATTTGGTTTATATTACCAACCGAAAATTGTCTGTAGTTGAGATTCTGATCAGTGTTGTTGTTATCCAAATCAAACTGAAAGCATAAATAATCTAACCACCACCATCCTGATCACAGCAGGAACTGCACCTGCATCTAAATGATGTCAGCAGCACGAGCCTGTTTGGGAGCCCAAGAGGCACCTTTCAGAAAATGTTTCCATGAGCACAATCAAAACACAGCGACTGATATTAGGATCAAAACTAAAAAAACTGGATTTATGAAATTGAAAGGACAGCGACGATCTCAGGGGAAATAGAATCAAAGTTTAACCTCCTGAAATACGTTTTTTTGATCATCAAACGGACGATGCTTTACTTCAAAAAGATTCACGCTATGAATCTGGACTGGTGTGTAGAAAAAAACCACAGAACATAAATTATTAGATCCTGACCAATCCCGTGGGTGTTTGTGTGGAGAGTTTAATAAGAATATCAAGCTAGCTGCTGAGTCTGACCAAATTCAATGAATGTCAGTGTCAGTGCATATTATCATTTGATATGTTTCTATGTTAACCTTGCTGTGATAAGGGGTGCCGGTGTCCAAGTGGTTAGTGCGCATGCCCCATGTACGGAGGGTGTGGTCCTCGGAGCGGGCAGCCCACGTTCAAATCCAACCTGTGGCTCCTTTCCCAAATGTCGTTCCCCATTCTATCTCTCATCAATTTCTGATTCTATCCACTGCCCCCCCCCCAAAAAAAACCTAGCTGTGATGCAGTATTTTCTTTGTCACTATGTTTCTTAGGCGTTGTGTCCACCTAACATTTTTCTCAGCGCCAGCTGTTTGTTGTTTTCAATGAGCAAAGCCCAGCTTCTTTTTTCCAAGCGCTACGCCTTTTTTTTGCAGCCGCTCTGAGCGCTGAAGTTGAAAATCTTTAAACTTTTCAGGAAGGCGCTGTTGACGTCACTGGCGCTCTTTTCCGAATGTATGATATTCCCTGTAGTTTTGCCACCTACAGATAATGTCTTGTACCCTCATCGTCTTTGATCCGAGTCTGATCGGGAAATAAACAATCTCAAATAAAAGCGTACAGTAGAAAGCAACAGAGCCGTGTCGTTGTCAACAGACTGATGTCATTGAGACAAGACAGACTTGCAGCGCTTTTCCGTCCCTGGAAAAAAATGCTAGGTGGACACAGGTCCTTAATTCAACAATGGTTCAATGTTCCTACGCATGCAGGGCAATGTATCAGATAAGCTCTTCAGTTCAGCAGTTTATAGAGAAGAAAGAATCAAGTACAAGAAAATAAAATGAGATGGAAATGACAAAATCAATTCATTGTGGAGAGGAGGATGCTTTGATTAAAAAGAGTAGACCAAGAAATAACTTTTGGAGCTACAGACAGAAAGAATAAAACTCCTGTGGTTGTTTGTTTACTTGTTCCATTTTATGTTGAGCCTTGTCACTCCTGCTGCTCGGGTAAAGTAGAGCTCTGCAGAAAGTGTCTGTCTGGTTTATTTCAAGGTAATTTTCCATAATCCTCTTCAGAAAAAAGATCACTGCAGACGCAGAGCTGTCTGAGTGTTGATGGCCACTGTCACTTCACTGAACTCCCTGAGATCTACACGGTGACTAACACGCTTTCCAAACACACAAACAAGCAACTTCTTTGAAATCTGTCATAAAGTGAAGCTTCAAAACTTTCTGACCCTTACAGCTGATCGAGGTCACACAGTTTCACCCTTTTTCACCCCCATCACCCCCATGCTCCTTTCCCGCATGTCATTCCCCACTCTCTCTGTCCCTGATTCCCGACGCTATCCACTGTTTGGACAGTCTCTACAGTAAAAGGCATAAAAAGTCCAAAAATAAATCTTAAAAAAAAATAAAACTGCTGTATGTTCATCATGTTTACAGAAATCAGGATACTACAGCTCAAGTAACCACGTCCTATATTCTGTGTGAGCTGGCTGCTCTGACCTGTGTGCTTTTAAAATCACTGAAAGTCTCACAGAAAATATCTTAATTCTGCATTACATTACAAAACTAGAGGTAGAAAAAAATGCTGTTCAGAAAATTCCAGCAATGTTGTGATGGCAGTTCTGACTGTCAACAGTGAGTGACAAGCTGCTGAGAGCCTTTAAAGGGCGAAAATGATTCTCTCATCTTGGATTTGTTGAACATCTATGTTGAGTACACAGGCAGTTAAGTCAGGTTTCAAATGTTTTGAAGTGGCTAAACTGAAAATAAAAAATGTATGTAAAAATAAAGCTTACCGTGTATTTCCTCCACTGGCCCACCATCTGCTCCTCTGTGCGGTCTGTGCGGTCCTTGGACTCCCGACCCTCCACCAGCTCCTGGTCCAGTCCCAGCAGAAGCCCCCTGAGGCGGCCGATGTCTTCTCCCAGCCGCTGACACCGGGTCATGTACTGACTGTGGGAGTCCAGGCTGGAGCGCAGGCCGTCCTCCACCTCAAACAGACCCTGCCTCAGCCTCTGCCAGCCCAGCCTCAGCTCTTCTGCCTCCTCCACGACCACCTCCGCCCCCCCAGGAGAGGTGTTACCCCTCACACCCTCTGCCAGGCCCTCGATATGCACCAGGGTCTTCTCCTCCCCGGCCACACTGTCATCCAGAGCCTGATGCAGGGGAAGGAGGGGCATGTCAATGTGATGACTCGGAATTAAAATCCAAAACCCCGACTAAAGTCTTTGTTGGGGTTTTTGTTTAGTTTTAAATCATTTCACACTCACCAAAATTTCAACACAATTCCTGTTTCATTTCTCTGTTAATTCCAAGGGTGCAAACTTTGTCATTTTCCAAATGTAATTCACTAAGATATAAAACTTAACACATCTTAAATTACAGATGTGCCCATAATTCAGCCGTGGGATTCCTCTATATTATTCCGATTTTCTGTCTTTCCTGATGACATTTCTAATCAGACGTCAGGACATAAAAGACTTGTTTGTTCTCCCCTCATGGGAACATGAAGGTGTTGTTGGACAGCCCTCTGCGGCCTGCCTGAATCACTGTGGAGGTAGCAGGACTTTGATCTTTAACGCCCGATCCTCAGCTAAAACCTTTTTGCAATGCCTGTTTACATGACAAGTGAAAACTTAAACCAGCTCAGTGATGACATCCCGCTGTTTCTTTTTCACTCAAACTTTGACATTCAAACTGTTGTGTCAAGTTCCCAACTCAGTTTTAATAACATACGCTTAAACAAAGCAAAACGAGAGAGTGCGTATTGGGCTAATTATGTGACACCAGTTTACCCAGGCACCATCCAACACATCGATTACCGTTACCATTTCTAATACTGGTGACACTCCAGTTGGAGTGATCACTCTTCTATAGAGACATACACATCGTGATAAAAACAAAGTCAATTGGTTCTCAAATAAGGGACAAACGTATATTTCTGCTAATATTTAATTATTTCAAATTCTTTATGTCCCAACAAGTTTTAAGGTCGACTCTAAAACCTATAGACGAAACTTTTTGTGATTTTTCCATCAATGTTCGCATCATAGTTAACCTCAGAGACTTCAAATCACTTTTTCGTATACCAACTGCTGGTTAGTAAATATAATTGGCCATATTTTTTTAACCGGCATCTAGACTTTGATACAGTCATTAAAAACCACTAGTACTTCATTTAAAGTGGCAGTAGAAATTGGAGGATATATGTACTAATGTATTTTTTGTTTTTGATTCTTGGCACACTGATCTAATTGTTTGACAAACAATAAAACAGGCGTGACAAGGCCGATGGTGGCCTGCGTAGGTCATTCAGAGAAATGCAAATGGTCACACGCCAATGAGGGGCAGAGTCATTGAAAACAAAAAAAACATGTTGTTGTAAACTTAAGGGTATGTTTTGTAGTGATGACAGCAGCTGCCATTTTGTTTGCCAAATTGTAATTTCACCTGCATTTTTTGAGTGTAATAAGATAATTTTACACCCTTACAGCTCAGAATATCAACTCAAACTCTGAACAGAATGTCTTCATCTTTCCACAGCTGAAAATAACAATAACAAAGTTTGATGCCTACAAACATGGTGACACCAAACAGCTGCATCCTAATTCTGTTCCTCACTTGTAAGGCTTTGAGCTTGTTCTCGGCTGTATCCTTCCTCTCCATCAGATCGTTCAGCTCCTTGGTCTTTGACATCAGCCACAACTGGAACCTCTGAGCGCAGCCTTGGTAGGTCTGGTGCTCCTCAGCGATCTTCTGAAGCAGCGACAGACGCTCCTAGCGAGGAAGAAGAAACACCTTGTGGTAATTTTTAGCAGTGATGAAGATGTTTCAGGACACATTACACAGTTCATATCTGGGTATCTGAGCAAGAAACCAGAACGTAAATCTGCATTCTCCTGTGATACTCTCTGCTGTCTGTTACTTCCACACGGAGACTACCACAAAGGGCCAGTTTACTGGTGAGAGAGGCTCCTACAAAACACAGCATTATTTAAATCATCACTTTCCCATCTAGAGCGAAATGTTCAGCTCTGCCAGCAGGCCAGTTTGTTTGAGTGAATGCAGGATGTAGGTAAAGACAGACGTGGGTGTGTGGTTAAATCTGACTGACACTTGAAAGAGCCCTCTGAAAAGGGAAGAGGAAGAGCAGATTCATTGGGCGGCTCACGCAGGAGAAAAATCAGCCTGCCTGTCTGTGTTCATGTCGACTAATCTGACAGCATCTTTACTCTGAATGTAAATGATTCACGGCGGAAAAATTCGCGGAGAAGACTGTTGCTGTCTCCGATTGCAACGTCTGAATCTGATTATAAATGAGCAGAAACAAAACATCAACACACTTTTGATTAACATCATCTTTATGTACTGCTGTCTGTCTGAGGATTCACTTTAAAATGGTAACTTCTCAGGTAAACACAAGTTCAATTGAAATCCTTACTATGTGTGTAGATTAAGAATAACAGGAATCCAATGCAACACAAATATCCCTAAAACAGTCACATATCCCACCAAGCAGTCATTCAAAACAAACTCAGACTAAAATTGGATTTTTATTCTGTTAAAATTAACGTTTTCCTCTTTAATGGTGGGAAAAAGTTAGTCAAAAGTAACTTTTTTTTCTCTCTGTCAGACTTTGATGATGTAATTCATATGCATGCATTTTCATCTCTTTTGAAAAAAAACTGGATGTAGCCTTCCATGCTGCCATGAGGTTTGTAACTGATGCAAGCATCTTTACAAACCTGCAACTTCCAAGGCTGAAAAATGAAGCGAACGCCTCAGTGCCAGAAAATTGCAGTTCCTCAAGTGTCCACTCGAGGCATACTCCAAAAGTGAGTCAATCACCGTAGAGCACCATGTTAAAATGTTCAACAGCCTCGTAAAAACAATTTTTTGTCTTTCTAGCACATTTATCTTTTTACAAAAACTGTACTGGGAACATTATAATATAACTCACTTCTTATTTTATTAGAGGCTTGAATGGCTTGTGATGCAAAAGTTTGTGGTCCGTTTTTTTGGTGAGACAAAAACTAGTATTATATTACTTATATTGAAAATCATTAGCAGTGTCTTTCTCACCATGCCACCTGAAGAGACGGCAGGGGGCATGTTCTTTAAAGTAACCCAGCAGGAGTCAATCCCTGCTTCTTACTCTCCCTAAGTAATATGTACGAGTGAGCAGCAGGTTTGCTACATTGGCTTAGTTTCTTCAACTTCTGTTAACTGTCACCCCCAAAAAACTAGCTCATTCTTCAGCTAATTAATTAGCTACGGCTGTAGATTGTATAGCTGTGATTCACTTGGTGTTGGCCAGTCCCTCGCTCTGCTTCAGCTCCATTCTCCTTTGTGGCTAGTTTCATAATCTATAGCCTTTCACATCTTAGGAACTTATCTGAAATGGTTTTATGAACTCGACTGTGTTTAGATAGTAAAACCTAAATGTTATTTTTTATAGGAAACGTGTAACTGGTTATGCTACCTCGCTAACTATCAAGTTGACTGACCTATTCATCCAAAAGCTGTGACACAATCATCAAAGAAATCTCTCCTTCAGGCTCCGACATCTCAAACTGAGCTGTGTAAACCTGCCTTTTCCTCTTCTGCCCTGCAGGCTTAGTAAGAGCTGCGGGGCAAACTTAACTTCAGTTGTTCATCTTTTCTAGACAGGTACAAAAATATTTCAAAGGACAACTTTGTTGCTCTTCTCAGGTCCTGTTATTAACCACTAATTTTAAGCCCACTGGTTCCTGTCTGCTTTGTCTGCCTTTGTTTTTATTTTTAGATTTGCTTAGTGATGACATGTTCCTGCCTGTGAAAGTTTTTTTCTGGTAAAGGAGATGGAGTATCTCTATGGGACCTTTCTATAAAATAAGACTAAATAAGAAAACATTTTCCTTGATCTTAACCCACAAAGTGTCCTAATGTGAAGGTGTTTTTATATATATGTTTGCACGTGTGGAAGCACAATTTAAGTTTCCACTTCACGGCTCCGAGATTTCACAAATGCGATTGTTTTTTTGAGTTCAGAGAAGCCGTTTCTTCTTCCTCTAGCAAATTCTCTTTTGTTTTACTCTGAAGGATTAACGTTTTTTCATTTCATGCTTCAATTTCACTTTCCGTCTTTGTGTATCTGTTGAACATTTGAATTGTCTTTTCTCCTTCTGGGTATTTTGTTTCAGTATTTTTGCACATATTCTACCAGCTTCTTTGTGTCTCACTTTAAATAAACCACAAGAACAGACTAATTCTGTTCATAACAAGAATTACAATTCTTCTGTCTAAAAACTACTGCGCTGGTGTCCTCGCATGCCTTCATACATACTGTATCCTCTTAAACAGTTGCCAACACCAAAAAAAAGTTGAACACATTACACCTGTCCTTGAATCACCTCACTTCCTTCTTGTGTGTCAAAAGATAGATTTTAAATTCCTCTTGTCTGACTCAGGAGGACTAAATGTTTTTAGACCTCATCTGATTTATTGGTTCGCTATGAAGCATCCAGACCCCTCAGGTGATCAGTAACAACTTTCAATCAGTTTTTCTATAGCATCAAACAAGGTGAAGCAGCTTTTCTAACTGTAGAACAAGCTGCATGAATACCTGAGATCTGATAAAACTGTCAGTTCATTGAAATCATTAGTGTTTACTGCAGCCAGAAACAAGATTTAAAGGCACATAATGTCTTTAAATCGCTTTCTTTTTCAGCAAACTTTTCTTTTTATTGCCTTTTGAGTGCAATTTAATGTGCTCTTAATGTCTTTTGTAATGTATTTTATGCCCCTGTAAAGCACTTTAAATCGCTTTGTATCTGTAAGCTGCTTCATACCCTCCTTGCTCCTTGAACATATAAGCAGAGTTGGACACAAAGCTCTGTTGAAACTCTATCTCTGAAGTGTATACGAACCAAACACAGAAGGAAACTGACACTTCAGATCCTGCATGATGGAACTAAAGAGGAGTAAATAAACAACTTACACATATCTGAGCTTGAAAACCCAAACAGCAAGCACACTGTTTAGTGGTATCTGTTCTCAATCAACACTTACAACCTGCTTACAGAGGATGGCTGAGTCTGTTCTAGAAAGAATCTGCCCTCCACTGTGATTTGAATATATTTCACTGTGTTCTCTGGGATCCAACTCTGTTCAGCCCACAGCTATTCACAGCCTGCAGGTTAGGACCTCTTTCTATATCTCTGCCTCTCTAAGAACACGCTACTTATAGAACGACTGCATGTCAGCAAAATCAGGCAGCAGCAGGGTAATGCAGAGACATACGTGTAGCTGTTCCTGGAAAATAAAAATAAATATCTTGATGCACTGCTTCCTCACCTCTTTATCTCTCTAGCTCGTTCACCAATCTCTCTCTCTCTCTTTCTGATGTTGAGCTCTGAAGGAGGGGCACACTTTGAATGGTGTGGTCTAATAAATCCCACACATTATACCTTAAAACAATAATAAAGATTATTGTGACGTGCAGTCTTACTCAGAAATCAGTAAAACCCAGTCTGGATGCAACATAGATTTCAGATGATATAAGGATACATTTCAGCTTCAATTTTCTTACTTAAAATCAACAGTAGCACTGTTGTGTTAATTTTAGCTGCTGTTTATAAATGTCATGACCCCAGCTGAATAAACCATATGACCTTTATTATGTATAACAGTTCTACAGGCTAGAAATATTTAGTTAAATATGTCAGCTCACCACTGGAAATAAAGAAGTTCAGGACTGTATGGTAACCTATGCAAGCACATCTCTCAGACACCCGCTGCCATGGCTCTGGGCATAAACATACCCTGTATGGTGGTTGAACAGTGCAGCAGAGTCTGACCTCACCTCAGCTCTGTCTCTGACATCGTTGTAGGCCTCCTGCAGCCTCTCCTGGGCCTGGGGCTCCACACTGGGGTCCTGGGTTCTGTTGTGCAGCGCGGCAGCCTCGTCCAGCAGCCGCTCCAGCAGTGCCGCCTGGCCGTGGATGTCGCTCGCCATCACTCTCTGCTGGTCCACCTGCCAGAGCTTCTCCTTCACCCCCAGCTGCAGCTCCACCCCGACGTCCAGACTGCGCTGCTGCTTCGTCAGCCACAGCTCAAACTCCTCGTAGGCCTTCAGGTACTCGCTCCAGTGCAGCCACACCCACTCAATCCGACTGGATGTGAGAGGAAACACGTGATGATGAGTTAAAGGAGCTGTATGTGTTAGGCTAAGAAAAATCTATAAACAGAATCTGCATGCTTTAACTTAGAGTTATATGGGTGAATTGTGTCATGAGGTAGGGTCAGGGCATGAAGAAATTTGGATATAATATTCTGAAAAAATGTGTTGATAACAAAAATAAACCTTGGACAGTTTTTACACAATAGTCCTAGTTAAACATGCCAACAGCAAGTCAGTCTGCAGTTTCAGTCTGTACACCAAAGAACCCGCCTGTCCCAACCACAAGCATTTGTTGAGCAAGTGCACTCCTACGAAGTGGATTCAGCCTCGAGAATATGAAGAAATAAAATGTAAAAAAAAATAATAATTTAGCAATCGCTCAGATAGCAGCCTCCTTTACTGGAGGCTATCTATTCATATATTCTTTTTATTTGCTGCAGTTAGCTCTAAGTGAACTAACTGAACTCTACCTGTGACAGTGGATGATGTAGGTGCAGGTGTCCTCCCACAGGCTCTTCAGGTCTTTGAGTTTCACGTGGGTTTGATTTCTCAGCTCTTCGTCGTCGCTCTGCAAAAGGTTCTCCGCTGCCACCAGCGCCAAGTCCAACTTTACACGACCTTCATGCTCCGACTGATGGATTTTCTGCACATGCAGGAAAAGGCATCGGAGTTCATTTTAAAGGTAAACATGGGGGATTTGTGGATTGAATTTCAGATAAATAATAATCAAGACCGGAAACTTCTTGGAATCTATCATTAGCACTAATACCTCTCAAAGTTAGGACCATATAGAAAAGCGCTATATAAGCTGTATAAGTCCTTTACCATTTAACTTAAAAATACCCTTTAAAGAACATTAGATGAATATGTACCAAGTTCTGTGATTTGCTAATTTGTATTTATGCTAAAACTCAGTAACATTCAGTCACAAGAAAAGAGTCCTCAGAGGATCAGGATCCTGCTTAAAGACCAGAAACAGCAGCTGTCTCCTCTCTGGTGTCTGATGACAGAGGACGGATGTAGAAACGGGGATCAGAGGTGAAGTCAATGGTCAGTGTAATATCTGACCTCTGTCTCCCTGAGTCGGGCTTCAAGAGCATCAAGGGGCCCCTGGGTGTTGTCGTTGGTCTTCAGCCTCTCCTGGATGGCCCGCATCCAGGAGAGGGCCGCCTCCAGGCTCTCCATGAACTCCTGCTGCTCCTGCTGTGTCATGACCAGACCCGGGCCTGAAAGAAAAGCAGCAGGTAGACTCCGGGTCAGCGGAGAAATTTACATAAAAAAAGAAAATAACAATTCCAAATGTTAACAGAAAGCCTGTGATACAAATACCGGTAGTTAACATGTTGTTTAAAATACATGGAAGTGGGCAGTGTCTAACATTACCCTGATGCACCATGGGAAACGTGGGAGGTTTTTGTTCTCCTCATTGAAGAACATTTCTGTTACATCTCTATGTTCTCTATATGAGGGGCACTCTGTGCGATTAAGCGTGTTGCCGGCTGTTGAAAGCCCTTTACATTAGCATTATTAAGAATGCATGTGGGTTAGGATATCAACAGAAACATAGCACACTGACTATGACTAACAACTAGCTTTTGTTCAAAGGGGCATCTTTTCTTTCCATTTACACCAGTGATTAGCAGAAATCCAATGAAGCGTCTGTAATAATTACCACAGGTGCCTCCAAAAACATATAACACAAGATCCATGAGATTGTTACTTAAAGGCTGGCAAGATGAATCTCAGACATGATATACACCTGATGTGGCACCTTTTAAACTTGCAAAAACTGAAAAATGCTTAAAAGCTGTAACTCACAGTTCCTTCCTATCAGCTGTTCTTCATTTTTTATACAACACCTGTGATTACCACCCATCTCTCCTGAATCCAAAATAAATCACTAATTAACCTATGATAGCTAGCTTCAGCTTCATGACTTCATCAAAATGATGTTAAAGCCTGGATGTTACACCCAGGGCTCTGTCTGAAAGGTCAAATGTGCGAGTGCTGAGTAAGAACGTTTTGCTTGTTTACATAAAATAATTGTATTAAGTGCAATAAATTCAGACTTTTCTGATGTTTTTATTGCGACTGCTCATGTTGCCATAACAATGAAATTGTGATTGGTTCAGCAGCCCCAGTGCATAAATATGCCAACACGTTATAAGCTCTCAGGACTTGTTTGCAGCCAGATGAATAAATGCAGCATTGTTTCTCCTGCTGGGCCTTACTGTGACTTTCTCAAGATTAACACATAGACTCCATCATGTGATGAGTCATAGATGATGAACACATACAGATAAAAATAAATGTGTTCGAAAAAGAGACATCACTGAGCGTGTTGGCAATAGGAGCTGTCCTGTTCACAGTTTTCATGACGTCTCTTTTGTGATTTTGTCCGACTGGGAACATGTTTTAGGTTCTTAGTTGAATTTTTAGATGCTGCAAAACATCTTATTTATAAATCAGTGATCTCAGGGTTCAGTTGGGGATTGCAGGGCAAAAGAGATCAAACTTGTTTCCAGCCTTTTCTCTAACCTACGCCCCTGAACTGCTCGTGAATCTCAACCATGTTGCATTTCATGACTCAGAGAAAGTGCTTTGTATTAACAGGTCACACATATAAATGCCTCAGTTAAATCAACACGGGGTTTCTCATGTGAAAGTGTGACGGTATGTATAATGATGAGTTTGAATAATATGTACCCTTTCTTGCTTTGTGCATATCAAGAACATATTGAAGGCAAAATTCCAGGACCATAAAACCACTGAATGTATGTATGATATTGTGAGCCATTGTGCAGGAGCTCAGCGTGCCCTCAGGAGATACAGCTGGGAGGAAAAACCTTGAGAGAACCAAACTGACGGAGGTAGTAAAAAAAGGAGGGGGTGTTCTTGGCACTGAAGGAGCACAAAGAGGCACACACATCTTTTCTTTGAGGGAAAATAAAACTCAGCCGGCATGGCCCGTTTTCTGAGTGACTCATTTCTCCCCACCACAACATTCCTTCTACCCCACATGTGATTGTTTTCGCTCAGGCTCTTGAATTCGGGTAAATTTAGAACTTTGTGTCCTCAGTGAACACAAACAAAAAACTCTTTATTTTTCTATAATCAAGACGAAAATGTGTTAGAAATGCTCGACTGGATTTTTATTAAATTTGTATTTAATCTGATGTCCGAATGTGCTGGACGACATCTTCAATGCTTGTTTTGTGCTTTTATTAATGTGTTTCAATCCTAACAATATCATTTTTTGTATCTATTGACTGTAACAAAGCACAGGCTGATTCACTTTTTCTGGACCCCACAATGAAAAGACAAAGTAAACACAAGTATTATTTATTTACAGGCTACAATGCACAATGCAACATATTAATATAGATGTGCTCCTGCAGCATTTATAAGGGATGGAAACGATTCGATTTTAAATCGGAATTAGGTTGACGCAATTTATTTATCGGATATCAGACAGACTGACAGACTTTTTTAATCGTGCAGCTATAGTATCGGTATATGTATCTGGATCTGATCTGAACTGAAAAAAAGTGTGTCAGTGGATCTCTAGTACTTTCACCCAATACATGCTTTAATTGGAGTTATTTCCATAAAATCATACAGCTGTTTTGAAGTTTGGTTCCCTTCAGGTTACATTTTGGAAGCTCCTCATTTACTCTCCTGATTTTTTTTTTTAATAATACTACTTTACCATAATGTCTTTCATCTTTCGCTTTTCCATTCATCACAGATATTTATAACTAGGCGGTCTGGCTTATTAATAAGGCAACCCTTAAGCCCCGCCCCCTCAGTCTGACAGCTCGTGCGCTAAACTCGTTTTCATTAATCCTTTTCACTCGCACGTGCAAACGGCTGAAAGATTCGATCACTGCGTTGCCATGCTAACGACTGTTGCCATGCTAACGACTGTAACCCTGCTCATCTTTGATTCAAGGTCGCTTTTTAATGATTTTTTAACACAAAGTTTACACATGACTTCAGTGTATGTAGAGCTAACTTCGAGGTAAGAGAATAAACGGTTTACGGTAAACCCCCGGGCCGTAAAACAAGACTAACTAATACTTCTGTAGACTCAGATCTCGGCAGCTCATTATAGTACAGTAATCTAATGCAGAGCGGCTGTAAGCACCACAGTGCAGTTTCCGTGTTTTTAGCTAAAGCTAGGCCTATTATCCTTTACATAGCAGAGCAACGGAGGACTTCAACTGTTCAAAAAGGTCTCCAGAGGAATAAAAGCACTTACAGCTCTGTGTTCATCAGGTGTTTGTGTCTCTCTGCTGAATGAACGCTGTCCTACACTTGTGTTGTGAACAGAGAAGTTATGGCAGCAGGCAGGAAGTTGAGCTGAGGCCGAAGGGGGCGGGGCCCAACCCAACTGACAGAACTGTCGTGCTGCATTCACTGACACCACGTAAACTACATAACTTACCGACAAGCCAGCATGGAAGCAACTCATCAAAAATACCAAAAGTACAGCAATACAAAATGGAAAGGGGACACTGCATTCAATTATTACATGGACTGAAGGAGAGGAAAGCAGAGAAAATATTGGACATTTGTTATAACGTAGATATGTTACTTTCATTTTGTTTTTTTTCCACACCTGATGTAAATATAAAGTTGTAGATTTGTATATCGTAGCCTATAGTTTATGTCTTTCTTTTTGCTTTGTTAATATGCATGTTTGCATCATGTTATCTCAATAAAATAACAATTAAAAAAACATTGAAGCAATACAGAATCAGCTTTATTGTCCAGGTATGCTCACACTTGAGGAATTTGACTTCGATTGACTGTGCTCCCTATGAACAAAATTATAACATTACATTTTGAACAAATGTAGGGCCTACAAAAACGAATATATTCAGGCCTATTTTCATTTAATTTAATTTTGCATACTTTATTAATCCCTGAGGGAAATTCATGAGACAATAGTGCAGAGGTGAGCCGTGCAAAATATGCTGAAACAAATATTCTAATAAATTAATTAGGTAACAGATTGGTTCATTTAAATTAGGTTGTTTTTTACAGTGTTTACATGAAGGCAGTGTGCATAGGTTTGATGTCAGATGCGAAGGATAACAGTATTTAATCCTATACATGATTAAGTGAGTGACCATAAAATTATGTTAAATAATCATATTTACATTCACAGTGGGTGTTTTTTACAGGGATTTTTCTCAGAGTGACAGCTTGGGCAAAGAAACTGATCTTGTGTCTATTCGTTATGGCGTACAGTGATCAATGATCAGTAACGCCTGCCTGAGGGAAGGTCTTTGAACAGTTTGTGTCCGAGCTGTGAGGGTTCTGCAGTAATGTTACCTGACTGTTTCCTGACCCTGGACCAAAGCTCGTTTAGTACCTACAAAATGAAACTGTACTTTTCTTGTTTTCCAACAAGTTATTTTGTTATTACCTGTTTTGAAAGTAATCCTAGACTGCTGGATCTATTCCCAAGAAGTTTTTCCTTTAAAGACACACCAGCTTACTAAAGAAACTTAAGTTAAAAGGTGTGGCTCAAAAAAAAAAGAAAGATAAGATGGTTCAGTCAGTTGTGATTGTAGCCTATTTATTGCTTTTTAACCATCATAAATCCAAACTGATATGAAGAACTATCTGATAACGAGAACACTGTCTTTGCACTACAGTGTCTCTTTGTGAGTTAACAAAGGCCTTCATTGAGTTTATCAGGAGTATGCCTAACGGCTGTTTCAGTTTTCCTTTTTTAACTTGTTCAGTTTTTCAGCATGTCGAAAGGTTCAATTCTAACCACTCATGCTAACTTTCCACTCAGAGTATCTCAGTGTTTCCAGGAGTACTTGAACACATCAGCAGACCAGATTTGAACCAGAAGAAAAAACGAATCCAGGGCAGCTGCTGAACCACAGCTGCACACGCTCTGATTCAAACCAGGAGGGCGTGTCCTGAAGTGTGTTCCTATTGGAGGAAAAACATCAACTGTTCATATTGAGTTTGTTTGTATTAATTCTATCAGAACTAATCCTGAACAATTGAGTGAAAAATAACTTTAAGTAGGCCTAACTGTATCACCTTTGAAAACATGCTACTAAAATCTGATAGGCACACAAAAAAAAGAATGACTGTATTGTTCGTTTTTGTTGTTTTCTCTTGCATTTTCTCCTTTTCTCAAGACTACCAAGTTCAGCAAGCTGCAAGGATTATAGTGAAAGGTATGTCTCTTTTTTTAGATGTCATGCAACCTAAAGTGTCTCAAGAGTCAAGAACAGCAGAAAAGCAGAAAGTCAACAGGAATGTATTTTCAAATCTTAACAAAAGTTGTACCGCCTTGCTGTCTCCCAGTGTGTTCCCCTTCCTTTTAGGTCCAATCCTCTTTTTCTTTTCTAGCGATGGAAATCACAAACAGACCTAACAGTACATTTATTCAACCTGCAGCGGGCATGCAGCCAAACTGAAGGTTATGTGAGGTCAAGATGCAGCCATTCCTGCTGCATAAGGTTTATTCTATTGTTGATCATTACATTAAAGGTCACATATTCTCCTCCTCTTCAACCAGTTTAAATAAGTCTCAGAGCTCCACAAGACATGTCTGTGAAGGTTCTTGTTTTAAATCCACTCTGATCCTGTATTTGATCATGTCTATAAACCCCTCTATTTCAGCCCTGCTCAGAACAGGCTGTTTCTGTGTCTGTACCTTTAAATATGTAAATGAGCTGTGTCTGACCACGCCCCCTCTCTGGAAGGGCTCGGTTGTCTCAGGCTTTCTCGCTCCATGTCCTATTGTTTACAGTGAGAAGGCAGACTCAGAGGGCAGAACAAAACCTAGCTGTGGGAGTGTCACCCACTTGGGGGAGGGGTTACTGCCCTTTGTGATGTCATGAAGGGAACATCTCCAAACGGCCTGTTTGAGCACACATTTTATGAACAGTGGAGCAGGCAATAGATGGAGAGGATGAACTCATCATTGGGGGGTTTGTAGACGGACTAGGGACACATATCAGTGTTATATGTGACCTTTGAGGTTTAAAATAATCTTGAAAGTTGAGTTACCTCTAGTTTTAGTTTTGTTTTTGGTATAGGCTGATATCTGCATGGGATCTGAGCAGGGATTTTGGATACATTTACAACAACATGCTGAACAATGTTCTTTGGTGAATGCTTTAGTTACATAAATGTGCTTTCACTTTATACATAAATTAATCCTCTGTGCTTTGAAATTGGGAACACTTTGAAACAGTGTTAGTCACTGTGCAATGTTCAATGTTATGTTTTGTAAACAGTGTTTGGTTCCTTTTTTGTTCTTTGTGCTTTCTTTTGTTTTCTTCGAGGTGATGACAGCTTTTGGCACTCAGTGTTTGAAAGAGGGACTCTGAAAGTGTATCTACACAAAGACACTGTGGGGGAGAAAAGTAGAAAAGAAAAAATCAGACTCCAATTGAACAACTAGTTTAATCATTAAGCTGAAAGATCACATGTTTCTTTAAAACACCGTGCCAGACCGGGTTCATGTAAAGCCTCTCTCATGTTTGACAAAACAATTTAACAAAAGATCAGAAATGTCAAATTCATTATCAAAATTATACAAAATGATGCACTCAGTCTACTTAAAATCACATCGAATGTCAGTGATGGAGGCCTGATAATCAGAGATAATGTTCAGAAATAAGCAGAAATTACATTTATGATTAGGGTTTGTTCAGGTATGGGGACGTGGAGCTGCACACCAAAACAAAACGAGGAGTCAGAATCAGAGGTTTCTTCTATTTTCTGCATTTCTTTGTCCAAATGAACAACTAAATGTCAGTCTATGGCGTTCATGCTTATCAAGAAACATGCTTATCCTTTTTTATTATGATTTTTGGTCATTCTCTGAAAGACCTTGTCAGTTGTCCGTTTTTTTAATCAGTGAAATGATCACAGCAAGACGGTTGATTTACAAATCCTTGGAAATCGAGCAACTTCTACTATTTTGCATTTAGCTCGCCCACAAAGCAGCACTTCTTTCGAGGCTGGTGCCTTCAGGTTTTACATATTAATGGGATCTTTCCTCGGATTCACATCGACGGTGCAGAGATTCTGTCAGATGCTCCTCTTTGTCATAACTTAAAGCAGCATCACACTTTGTCAGCGTTCATCTCGGGGGCACGATGGTTCTGCCTCGGTGGCTCTAAAAGCGATGACTAGATGACTTCTGCACTCGCAGGACAATTATGCAGGTTTGTCTTTCCTCCTGCAGAGTAACAAAGTGCTGTGCGTGGCATTCTTTAGACAAATAGTACGTCAGTCATATCTCTTTGTGCTGTCTGCTTTCACCTATTAGGACTCTATAACCTGCCATTATGTGAAGTTTAAAGAATCTTTATACCAACCTTAAAAACAACATGGAGACATTTTAAGGAGTCCAGGGGTTGGATTAATGTGAAGCCACCTGTTAAATTCAGCCCACAGTTTAAGGCTGCAAATTTTACAATTAAGTTCAAGATGTTTGGAAACCAGCTGCAACTGTATAGCAGTTAGCATCCATCCATTATCTATGAATGGGGGGAACATGCAAACTCCACACAGGGAGACTCCTGTCAGACGAGGATTCAAACCAGGAACCTCCTCGCTGTGAGGCAACAGCACCCCAATGCAGCCTTCAAAATGACATGCGAGGTAGAATGAGTGATTCTGTGAATGGAGTCTGGGGGCTTTGAGAGGAGTGATGCAGCTGTTTTTGTTTACTTGAAGGTGCGGTAACACACCTGTCGTATCGTACTGAGTCTGTTTCCCAACTCCGTCACATATTTGATATGTACAGCTGGAGAGATAGTCTCTTTACTCAGAGAACCATGGTTACATATAATAACGTTCGTTTCAGCATCTAGTTGCTGTATATGCTTCATGTAGAGACATTTTTTAAAGGTTTCTTTTTTTTTACTGTCTACCTTTGTTTAGAGAGAGGACAGTGGATAGAGACAGAAATCGGAAAGAGAGAGTTGGGAATGACAGGCGGGAAGGAGCCACAGGGCGGATTTGAACCCGGGCCGTCCGCCTGGAGGACCGCAGCCTCCGCACGTGGGGGCTTGTGCACTAACCACTGCTCTACCGGCGCCCCCATGGAGAGCCTTTTTAAGAATAAGTCTTCCACAGCTGATCATAAAGAACACTTGAGTTTTATTTATTACAGCTTGGGTTCACAGTCTTAGTTACATTAAAGTACTCAATCATGTTCATCCAAGAGCCTTTATTTTTCTTTCTTTGCCGTTACTCACGTTTGCTTACAGTGATACCACCAAATCTCCACACCACAACACGCTTCATGTTTAATGGAAATAGCTTCCAAAAAAAAAAAAAAGGAACCAGTACTTTAAATTTGCATACTTCCAAAGAGTGTGGACATCAAACATCATTAATCAAATCATCAATCACATTTTCGGGCCAACAGTGTTCAAATAATGAAAACCTGTCAAACTGTTCTGTTTGTATAAATCATTGTTTAGTTGATCTATAAATGGCGACACACACACATACAAAATAAATAGATTTTTTAAAAAGCGTATAAATACTTTACATCGTCACAATACATTCTTTAGCACAGCCATCCTGTGTGCTTCAAATGTCTCTGATTCAAAGGAAAAACATCTATATTATATATTAGATATATTTTAGAGCTTTGGGGCTAAAACTAGGAAGCCCTCTGAGGACATTCACCCTGAGGCCCCGTGTCCACCACGCGTTTTTTTTTTTTCAATTGGTTTCAATGAGGAGTGAGCGTTCACAGCAGCAGGCGGATGCTGGGAGAAAAAGGGGAGCGCCCAACATCTTTTTTCCGAGCGCTCCTCTGCTTTCTTTATGTGGCCGTTCTGAGCACTTGAGTTGAAACTCTTTCAGAAAGGGGCTTTTTTACTGTAAAACATACAGTAGAAAAGTGATGTCATACAGCGGCCGTTGTCCACAGACGGTTGTCATAGAGATAGAACGGACATGCAGCGCTTTTCTGCCTGGAAAAAAACACCAGGTGGACATGGCGCCTTACATTTTATTTTAGTACATTTTTCTATTTTAATAGTTTCTTGTCGTTTTCTCGAGACCTTGACTCGTTATCTTGGGATAACCACACTGGTTTTACCATGATAACTGGTTAAATTCAGTCTCTTGCTCCAAATGTCAATAAATTAAGTCGTTATCAGTGGGAAGCTTGTGTTGTTATCTCGAGATAACAACGTTAATACGTTGAGAAAAACAGAGCGAAATAAAATGGTTGGATTTATGACCGCTCAGGGCTTCCGTAGAAAAGAACTGTAAATGTGAGTTGGCTTCAGATATTTGTTTTTGTTTTTTCCTTATTACACACAGATAAATTACCCCAGATAATAAACGGTACTTTACAATTTACAGGAATAGTTTCACATTTGTACCTCCATATGAGAAAATCAAGATGTAATGTATGTGCTTCAGATGGATATCATTTTTTTGTCACTTTAGTGCATTGGCCCTGAGGTGCAAAACACAAACATGTGTACACAGGTTGAGCACGACATCTGGGCTACACCCTTCACCCTGCAGGGGGGGGGAAGTCAGAGTGTGTGGAAAATGGACTTTTCTTCACGCTACATCAGAAAATAAATACTGAGAGAGCATGGCTCTTAAGAACCCAGAGGATGACATGAGCTGGTTTCCTTTTCATCCTCTAAAGCTGATTTAACTTATTTTCATATTTTTGTGCTCTTAAGATCAATGGCAGTACTTCGCTAAAGGGAATACATGAATACACAGTGTGGCAGTGAATCAAACTTCAAATAAAGAAAACATCCTGACTGAACTTGGAACAGAAACGGATCTTTCTCTCTCTCGAGGACCAAACATTTCATAACACCAACGAATACTCAAAATTGTCGCAGGCTTTCATCAGAGGACGACCGGCTCGGTCACCGTTTTGTTTAGTCATTCAGCCGGAGAAAGAAAAATGAACAACTTTAAACAACTTTAAATGTCTGTTGGTGGAAACCATAGACTGTATAAAAGAAGGACGGCATGACTGCTCTCCAACATTGAAGTCAAAACATTTGGAGCTCCCCCTACTGACAGCTGCAGTGTAGGTCATAGGCCCCGCCTCCTCTAAGTTAACAGATGGGACATGACTCAAACTATAAAATCAAATAAATATTTTCTCTGATTGTTTCTTTATATTTATGTTAGTTCTTATGATGCTGATTTATGTCCAATGTCTGCAAAGTTTACCTTTTCATAGGAATAGGGTGGGTATAACACATTGACTGACAGCTCTGCTGACCAATGAGGCTCCTGCAGCACTGTGTCAGAGTAAAGAAGGAACCATGAGAGGAAACATAACATGCACTAACCAAAGAGTCATTGAACTCTCTTAGCATGAGTGCCTGCTCCCGTTTACGGTGGAATATCCACCTGATGGATCTGTGACGCCTTATCGGTAAGTCAAAAGTGTGTTTTGGTTAGAGGAAGGGGCAGGACATCAATACTGCAGCTTCATCAGCTGATCCCATACTGCTCCAACTCTGGAACCACATGAGCAGTATGTTTGCTCCTGTCATAGGGGGTATTCAGGTTTAATTTTTTAAGACATTTTTGTGCTGAGGCTTTTTGTACATGCCATCACAATGTGTGCTTTTAAGTGAGTGGGGTTATTTTCCTCTTACAGCGTGCTCTCTCAATTTGAAAGCATCACTCACTATTTCACATTCACCTCCTTGCCCTCACCGTCACTTAAACATTCCCTCCTCAGAGTTGATTTTCTGTGCTTGTGCGCAAACTGTCTGCTTACACTGACTTCCTTTGCTCCAGCGTCAGCCCGTTTTGCTGCAGAAGGAGAAGGAATAAAATGGTAGTGCAGAAATTCAGTGCAAAAAAACCCAATGTATCTGAGAGAAAGTGCAAGCCTAACGTTTGAATACAAATGGAGCAAATTGTAGTGCAAGCAGGAGCTGTTTGAGAGATCTTTAGATTTGGAACCATTTAAACTTTGAATTGACAGCTTTACATTATATGTACTCACAGTTTATATCTTTTCTGTTCTGGTTACTTCTGGGATGCATGTTTGATTTTTGAGCAATGGAGAGAGAGCAGGATATGTGTTTTTTTGTGTGGCTGAAATGGAAAAATATGTAAATATGAAAGTGGGGCAAAGTGTAATGCAAAGAGGCTTAGTGAATAAATTACCACGTACATGAAGCTTGCAAACGTCCACTGAAGCTTCAAATCCTCCGAGGAAATAAAGAATAGCAGCAGAACAAACAACAGGTTCACACAGAGACTTAAGAAACGGCCTCTTAAAATCACATTTTTGACACATTTGACGAGAGTTGCTTCAATAATTTCATCTTATTCAACCAACTGTAATATAGTTGAATGAAACCTCACTGTAGAATATGAACCTTAAACTGTTTAGCTTTAATATTCAACATGGAAAGATGTGCAATAAATCAATTTTTCTTCACAGTTTACTGTATTTGGGGGATTTCGCTAAAATATGTGCTCCACTCAATAGTGGCCTTACAAATATCCATGCTGAGAGAAGGAACTTAGGGATGACATCCTCTCTGACAGGCCATGACGTATAACATGCCTTATGTACTCAGATGCATTAAAGTCATCAGAAGAAAACAGTTTGAATCCACACTGTGGTGGGGCTCTGAGGACGGTTCAGGGATGTTACTTTGGTTCAGACTTGATGGATTATCATAACATTTTCTGCAGACATTTATTTTGTCCAAAAGGTTCATTGGCTTCAGCACCCCCGTGAGGTCGATGATTTTGGTTTTGATTGAAATATCTGGGGATAGATTATCATAAAATTTGGTTAATGGTGTTTTTTGTCCTCAAACTTCATCTTGTGCCAGCAGAAGGTTGACATTTTTATTTGCTTTTGCAAAATGTCTCAGTTGAGTAAATGTTAATTTACCATCTCTACAAACACTGATTAGATTGCCTTAAACTTTGGAACAGAATTGTAATTGAATGTACTTTGGTGATTCAGAGTTTTCCTTCAGTGCAAAGATTTCATTTTCCCACTTCATGACCAGACACTTGTAAAAGTTAGTCCCCATCAGTCCTAACTGTGCTGGTAAATGTTTGCATGTTAAACTAAGATTGTAATCATGATAATCACGAAGTGCTTAACATAGTTAGCCTGTTAACAAGCTGACTGTAGCATTTAACTCAATGTATTACAGAGCTGCTAAATGGCTGTGGAACTTCAAGTGTGTTCAGACCCAAAGCGGAACAAATTTGTTGCATGACGCTTTTAGATATAGTCACTGCAAAAAGGCAGATAAACAGCAATTTGCACAGGTAATGCAAATGAGGCAAAACTATGAGATTAGTTGAGTTACATTTTCCCAGGCTGAGGGATAAACTCCTGTTTGGTTGTGTTACTAAAGCATTTTAGCTTTGACGTTCACCACACACCAGATAAGGGTCTAAACGCCACTTAAAAATAGTCTGCGTGTGAGCATGAATCTTTACTTTATGATGTAGTTGTTTGGAGAGATGGACAGGCGCTTCACAGCTACAACAGAACTCTGGAAGTTGGTGTCCATCAGAGAAATCCTGGTACTGATCCGAGCTAACAGGTCATCAAACTGGGACCTGGTACTGATCCTAGCTAACATGTTATCAAACTGGAAACAGCAGGAAAGTTCATCCAGACACAGTTCATGGAGGAGGAGGGAGATGGACCCAGCTCTGTCAAATTCCAGATGTTGTTATGAAACAAGATACGACCACAAACAATATGAAAAATCTACACTGCCTGAGTGACGTCACCCCTTGGTTTCTAAAGAGGCGTTATGAAGCTGAACGATAGCAGTCGCCATATTGGAAGTGCTGACTGCCATACCTGATCCATCTAGAAACAGACAAAGAGATGTAGCTCAGGGAGGCCTTCAGCCTCCTGGCAAACAACTACAACTCACCCACTTGTCAATCAATTCAGCCATGGCCCTAATTATGCACATTTATGCAAAACATTTAGCTCTAATATAATTAAAAAGAATTAGTTATGTAATAAATCATCCCATCCTGTGCAATGTGTACCATTAAAACAATGAGCTCTAATGCCAGATTTTTCTCAGGTCTCATGTCTATTTCTGCCGTAAAATGGCAGAAATAGACATGAGGTCCCATTTTACGGGACCTAATGAGTATTCTTTGGCTTTTGCAGCCAGCCTGAGGTGCTGAGGACGCTTGAGGTACTGCAGTTTTTTGCACTTCCACAACGGCTTCATCTTTCAACACCAACGGCTGCAGCCTGGTTTTGACACAGTTGGGATTTTTATAGCATCTTGAAAGCCAAAAATTCTGGGTGTTGCGTTGGACTTAACCAAATAATTAATCTGTTGTCATATTCATGCTGATAATGCAATACAAACATCTTCTTGGCTTTGGTCTGAACACAGCTTAAACCATGAAATTTGGTCTCATAAAATATGGTCCATGATATAATCTTTAGATTAAGCAAATTAAATGATCACTATTTATAAATTATGGTAGATAATTAGGCTTAGACTGATGGTGATACTAATCTGTACTTTTACTACAATAAATTTAAAGACAGGCCAACTTAGTAGCTCACAGAAAAATGCACTCTAAGCAAACCTTATCCTTAGTTAACAGTGTTTTGATTCCAATATCAAGAAATCGTTGTTTCCCTCCAAACTGTTCGTTTCAAGAAAAAATAGCTTTCCAGCAGCAGTGGGTGAAGCCATAAAACACTGAGATAACAAGCCTCAGTAGTTGAAATAAACCTTTCAAGTGAATTCTGTTGAGTTTGAATTAGGTACGCTAAGGAACATTCAAAGTGCTGCATGAGGAAAAAACAAAAGAGCTCCTATAAATCCTGAAAGTCTCAGAGCTGAATCCTTGCAGAGCTTTTCTGTCCAAGGTCTTAAACCCAATGATATATCGTCTCTAGACACACAGCACGCTCTTTATAAGTCCAGAAGTGTCCCGCAATGATGCAGCATAAAAACAGACAGAGTATTAATCTCTCTGGCCACAGTCCTGACGCCGTTTGTCTTCAGCAGTAGACCGACCAGTAGATCAGGTTGAAGAAGATGTACGAACCAGGAAAAAACATCCGAGAGTATTTGTCAATAGCGTGTGTGTTCTGGATGATGTTGAGGGCACGAATGCTCTTCTTCTTCTTGGTGTTGGTGGACTCACTGCTCACTGACAAGTGGACCACCATGTGTTCAGGTTTCTCAGGAACCTCGTGGAGCTCCTCCTGCTCCTCCTCGGGCAGCGGCTCCTGGGTGTATCCTGCCAGGCTGTTGGTGTCGGCCTCGCTGTATGTACCATCCAACATGGTCATGGTTCTCGTTTGGGACATACCACAGGTGCAGGGCAGGGACTGTCAGGGAGAAAATACAGTTGAAAAAATAAAATCAAGAATACAACGCATTGAAAAGCCTTGTTCTGTTCTTCCCCCAAAAAATCATCTATAACTTTACAGCCACTCTCACCCTACTGGACCACACTCTGTCCAGTAGTCCAGTGAATTCTCAGAGTTACCCTTTAGATTAAACCAAATTTATGAATATTTTTCTTCTATTTTAGATTCTGCCAAACGGAAAGTGTGATATCATCAGCATACGGTACTATTCCAGTCTGACGGTATTGGTAGAGACATAAACTACACTAAAAGGAGACTGAATTAACAGATATTTTCTCTTTGAAAAACACTTGGTGTTACCTTGCCGAACAGCAAAGACGTCCTCGGGTTGGAAAGATGGAGCTCAATTAATCTTTTTGTGAACAGCTAATAGTCCAACCAATATATATCTTTTCAGGAAGAAGATATGAGTACAGAACAGTTTTAGCAGAACCAGCAGGGGTTGACTTTTGTAGATCCAACCCTAACCTTGGAACAGTTATTGAAAATAACTAAAAGTTAAAACAGGAAAATGTTGGGGCTGAGATGGCCTAATGGTTCAAGTCCAACCTGCGGCGCTCCTTTACCGCATGTCACCCTCCACTTCCTGTCCATGATTTCCTACTCTATCTACTGTCCTATTCAATTTAATGCATACCCCCCCCCCCAAGGCAAATATTCCCTGCATGTTTTATCAATTTCATTACTAACGTGATGATTTTTCCAACCATGTTTACCATAAACAGACAGCAATACTGTATACCATGATTGGGCACGTAGTAGACAATGTGTATGTGTGTGTGAGCCCTGTGTGATTGCTGATGTTTGTTGCTCACTTTTTTTTTTTCGTTGAAAATTGTGATAGTTTGGAATCAGAGTTTTTAATTGCCACCATAGTCAAATATTGTAATTCACGAGGCTTTTTAGACCTGCAAGAAAATGTTTCAGTGATAAAATGCTGCATTGTGATTTGACCAATTTTCTGCTCGTAGGTAAATGTTTTATTCACGCTGTCTTCTTGCTCTTTGTATTTATTTTCACTTTTCACTGCTGTTATTTCCTTTATGTTTTTACACTGATAGGTGTTTTTGTAAAGTTGGGAAATTGCACAAACTCATGGAGATTGGCTGCAGCTTTTGAATCCGTGTGGGTCCTGTGTTGCTTAAGAGCAGAGAAGGAGAAACCTATTTGTAATAAATACAGCACGCTAACTTTGAGTTTTTCTAACAGGTGCAAGATTTTTTGTAAAACGAACCTGCGATCTTGCCCGCTCTCTCAGCTTTCGCTCCCGCCGGTCCTGCACGGTGGACAGGTAGTTCACAGCGGCATACTCCAACACAGACAAGAAGACAAAGACGAAGCTGACCCATAGGTAAATGTCCACGGCTTTGATGTAAGACACCCGAGGCATGGACGCGTTCACTCCGGTTATGATGGTGGACATGGTCAGCACGGTGGTGATGCCTGGACACAAAATACACAACGTCTACTTCAACTACAGGAAAAATGTGTTTAATCCAGAGTTTATTTTTTACTTCCAGTGTAATGGGCTGCTCTGGATAAGAAGGCTGACCTAGTACTGGGACATTAAAGTAAAGAAAGTGAAAGCAATAACATAAGCTCTTATACAATATGATGCAACATGGTCCAACAACCCTGTAATAAAACCCTGTGAAGCTCTCAGACAGGAAGGTGTCAGTGATGTGCAGGTGAGAAGGTGTCAGAGGTGAAAGAAACACAATTGGATTACTTGATCTAATCCAATTTTATAATCCTTTTTTTTTCTTTTGAACAACCTGTTTTCAAGATTAGATCCAATACAATGGCTTAAATCTGAACAGATTACTTTCAAACACATGGGACAAGGATAGGATAGGATAATGCCAGAATAGGAGTCAGAAAGGTTTCTGCTGAGATACAACTATGGACCACAACTCCAAACAAAACAACTCTCCACATCAGCCTCTATCGCCAACAACTATGCAGTTATGTTTTTCTTTGCAGCATTTGTGCAATGTTTGTGCGGGACTTAGTTTTGGTGTAATGGTAAGTACCTGATCTAGATCTAGGTTTATGTTCAACTCCTATCACCCCCCCCACTCTCTCTCCCACATTTTCTGTCTACCTAAAGCCGTAAAGGCAAAAGCCCAAACAATAATAATAATTTTAAAAAACGACAAAAAGAACAACAGAGAGATGAATAGCCACGAGCAAACAGACATCAGCCTTGTTGTGTAGGAATGTATTACTGGATGCCTGCAGCACACACCAGACTCGGCACATGCACAGAATTTAAAGAAGGAGAGGCAGGATGTGATCATCCTGAAAGCTAACAAGAGGAATACGAAGTGTTTTGGCATACATCAGACAGCTCACAGTAAATTATTGCAAGCCTTCATGGAGTGACTGATGAATATACTCGGCTTCTTTAGCAAAATTGGAGATGGAACTGGATGTCATTTTAATGTTTTAATTAATATATTAAACTTGTAAACATTTGTGTTGCTGATTTTAAGATAGGAACACCAACAATGTTGAATCATGAGAAACTAAGATGACCTACAAAGAGTAGTCCTGTCAGCTTTCTGATTGTACTAAATCGAGCTTCTGTGCCAGGTGACTCCAACGTTTATTTAATATAATGACTATTGAAATGATTAAAATGCAGAAGACAAAAACAATCAAACTGCTCTTTGAAAGTTAAAATGGACACAATGAGTTTAAGAACATCCCAACCTTCAGCTGAATCTAATCAGAGCGTGAAGATGAGCCATGAAAGTATCACAGAGAGCGGAGAAAACAGGCGTCTGTCTGACAAGTACACCAACAGCCTCAATGCAGAAAATAATTCAAAAGAAAAGTGAGACTGGAGTGTGGGAGGTTGGTGTATGTGTGTGTTTCCCGTTGGAGAAGCTGTGTCACAGCCAGCTTTCATCATCACACACACACACACACACACACACACACACACACACACACACACACACACACACGCTCCTCAGGCTCGCTCAATCCCTTCAAATGGGTTTTTTTTTTTACCCAGGGAGACTCTGGCCGGCACCGCTCGTCGGTCGATCCAGAACGATACCCAGGAAAGCATCACCATGAGCGTGGCGGGGAAATAAGTCTGCAGCAAGAAGAAGAAGATGTGGCGTCGCAACGTGAAGTTGATGTAGAGACGATTGTACCAGCCTGCAAACACAACGGGCGGCCTGATTAGACAGGAGGACATGATTCAACAGTGTAGAAAACATGAGAAATAAAAAAACATATTGCATGAGATTTTCATTAAAGAGGATATATTATACCCCTTCTCCACCTTTTCAAACAGTCCCCTGTGGTCTAAATGAAACATCTGTGCTGTGCTTTGATCAAAATATAACATGAATCAAGCAGCAGAGGAGGTTTGTGACCCTGTATAAACCAGCTCTCTCAGAACGCTCCGTTTTGGTGTGTGTGTCTCTTTAAATGCAATGAGCCCCCATCCCGCCCCTCTCTTCTGCGCGGTGTGCCGACGAGTTCAGCTTTGAGCTTCCATGGCAACTTGTCAGCGTACTCCCTAGAAAGCTTTGTAACTTTTTACAAGAATGTTTAAGTGCTTACATTCAGTGTTTGCCTTGAATCACTTGTGAATAAATACAGTTTGAGCCTCTCAGCTGCAGAACTACAAATATAACTTCTGTTCTGGTGTTTGTGAAGTACTTAAAATCCATAGTAAGTTGAGGTCTGCACTGGTGGGCAGAAATAACAGCAGATCAAACTTTATCGGATCATAATAATAACATATAATCATGATGCGTGTGTGTGTGTGTGTGTGTGTGTGTGTGTGTGTGTGTGTGTACCTGTGCTGCTGTAGAACGCCAGACGAGACGTCGTGTGGAACTTCTGGATGAGAAACTGCGATAAAGAGATGCGATCGTCGGTGCTGAGGGACTCGTCTCCACTCTTCCAGTACAGCATCAGGTCCTCATCAGTGTAGGCGTCTGTGCGGGGGGGGGGGGGAGACAGAAATCACAGTCATATCAGAGTGTAAAGCATGGACTCTGCCATCTGCAGCAGAGGTTTTAAATAACTGATGTGATCTTTGGACGAGCAGCAACCTTGAAAACTTTTGACCATACTGTAGATTCCTGACAGACTAAGGCTGACTTGTTTCTGCTGTTGATTTCGTTCATACCACAAACATAGAAGCAGTCTTCTTCAGTAAAGATTGATATCCTGAATGAGCTGTTGGGGCAGTGCTAAATACAGATATAAAAACATGACATCTGTGCAGACAATGGCGAGAGACAAATAAAGTGCATCATAAAGTATGGCATCGCGTCACGTCTATAGACTTTAAATATTAATGTTTGAGTGACGTCACCCATCTGTTCCTGCAGGGGGCGCTGAAATCCCATTGATGGCGGTCTCCATGCTGGAAATGCTGTCTTTGTCTAACTTTCAGTCAACCTAATGACAGGCCTAGAGGCTGGAGCTGAGGCAGGTTTTAAGCCTACTGACAAACCATTTTAACGCACTAACCTGTCAATCATGTCAGCTTCACGCCTTATTGTGAATAACTCGTGTCCTTCATCAAATCAAAACGGACGAGATGTTAAAAAAGATCAATCCCCATAGAGTGTGTCGATGAGCTAATCAGACCTACTTTCGATTTTTGTACCAGGCTGTAAACATGTTAATTTCTGCTGTAAAAACAGGCTTTTTTTGAATGGGTGTGTATGTGACTTCCTGTGCTTTTGCAGCCAGCCTCTAGTGGACACTCGAGGAACTGCAGGATTTTGCACTTTTCCACATTTGCTTCATTTTTCAACAGCGAAGGTTGCTGCTTGGTCACCTCCAAGCACCTTGGTTTAAATTGTGCCATACTATTTACATAATTCATACTACTTACAAATACTTAAAGTGTAAATGTGTTTCTCCGCTTGTAGAAAGAAGATGCTTTATGAACAATAAATTGGGTTTTTGAGAATTCTTTAGCCTTCAGGATCCATGCAGCTAGCTGTTACTGTGAGACTGAACTGTTACAAGCATTAGTATTTAAAAGATATTTAACAGCCTGATAATTTATTATCTGTTTACAACGCTGTAATGGATAATGAATAAGCGTGTTATCAGTGAGGGAGTCAAATAAACAGAACTGTGGGGACTCTGTGTATCTGTATCAGTGCTGCTGCAGTGATTAAATGGTGTAGCGGTGATTTTAATGGGATGATTAAATTAACACAGCTTTGATTAAAATCCCCCAAAAAACAATCAGATAACCTTTTTCCTCACACTCTCTGCAGCCTCTCTCTTCTTCTTCTCTCCGTATAAAATAAAGATAACAATGAAAAGTCTGATCCCCTGGTGTGACCGGCTCTTTACCTTTCCGAGCTGGAAGTGTCTTTGTTCACAGCTTTTATCTTTTTTGCTCTTTAGTCTTTGAGTTTGAGCACTCTCAAATACCCAGATGTCTACCCCCAGAAAATGGTCGATGTTTTGAAGCTGCACTTAATTCAGAGTCGAGATTAAAACATCAGAGGGAGTGTGCGTTTACTCTTAAATGTGTGTGGAAGCTGTGTGATGTGGCCTCTGGTGTGTGCCGGGTGTTTCCTGGGAATATCTTTGATGTCTCTGAAACAAAGCTGTTAAAAAGACACAGAGTGATGTCTCTCTCTCGCTCGCGCTCGCTCGGGATCTTTCCAGGTAATTGACCGGCCTTTTACGCCTCTCATTATTTCTAAGCAAGAGGGTAATAATACTACCGGCATGACCCGTTATTTTGTCATAATTATGAGGGGGGAGGAACATCTCATTGCTTAGGAGTCATGTGATTGGTTGCAAAGAAACGTCCCTGACGCCCAGCCTCCACCATCAGACTGCGTCGTCCCTACAACCACCGCCGTCCTCATTCATGCACGGCCTGCTCTGACCTCCACCTCAGCGGCAAGGAAGTGTGGACAACAGGAAAGCGAGGAATATATAGGAGAAATCCTCCATGTTTTTTCACTCCCACCTGCCCTTTGCACATAGACAATGTTATGTTTTTTGGGAGGATGCAGTGTACAAGGAGACAAAACACTTGCTGTTCCAAGGCCACAAGTTCTGAATAACGAAGGATGTGCACTGGCAGACAAGTCAAAAAAACATTAAACTGCAAACATACTTTTTTCCATTCTGTAAAAGTGACACTCAAGTCTCTTGAGCAGATGGCTTCTGGTTGCACTCGAGGTTCTGGTTTTTAAACTGGCACTCTCTCACACACTCACACTCACACACACACACACACACACACACTCAGTAACACCAATAAACACAATCTTAGACGCAGCTCAATCATAACAAAGATTCCCTGTCAGCTGGAGGTCTGCAGATGTCTCATGCCTACGTGTCTGTCATATTAGATTAAACAGGCATGCCTGCTGTTGCCATGGTGATTCCAGACACAGTCTGTCAGTTTGCACAATTGGGAAATACATTTCCAAAGATGAGGAATCGGGTCGTGGCTTTGATCTCACTGTTTGAGTGAGTGTGTGCAGTCGTATGATTAGAATATCAAACATGCCAGAAAACCATCTGAATAGTTGGGCCCAACTTGTTGGATACAACACAAATAAATTGTCTCAATCTGCTTGAAATCACATGGTGTACACCAAGCTTTAGAAAGGCATCACTTCCTTTGTTCCATGTATTCAGCTACTTAACAATCTCCCTTCAGACATAATGAACTAAGGACGTCTGACTTTACAGACTTAGAAAAAACTGAGCAAATGTGCAATACTGTGTTTATCTAGAAACATGTTTTTTTACTGGTTACATCTGCACCACAAAGGACAGCCACCCAACTCAATGATAAGAAAATGTTTGCATATTTATCTACATATATCGATATCCACCACATGTATCTATGCAATGCTTTAGTGATGTCTACATGCTGTCCTGATGTCTTTTACGTCTTTATGCTCTTGATGCAAGGCAAACTCCCTTTGGGGCGATAAAGGTTTTATTAATACATTCATGTCTGCTGCTTTACGAGGACAGAAAAGAGTTCACAAAACTCTAGCAAATGTTTTACTTTTTTAGGAATATTTGTTATTATAGGGCCGACTAATATGAGATTTTTGGGGCCGATATCGATTTTGGCAAGTAAACAAATCTGATACCGATATATCAGCCAATATCTTTCTTAGAGCTTTGTTCGATCTGTAGAGATAGATAGATATAGATAAACACATTTATTGAATTAATCCCTCAAATGCAGTTAATAAACACTTATTAACACACACAGACAAAGACAAGGTGGTCACTCAACTGGAAAGTAACTGCGCATGTATGTGCGTCACCACTCGGCACTCTGGAGAGTGATGATGCTTGTTATAATCCATATAGCGCCCTCTGCTGGTGACAGCCAGAAAGAGAACTGCTAGAGAAATTAAACGATACTCAAATTAAATGATATTTGTTTGTTGAATAATTCTAGTAATATCGGTGCATATCTGCGATAAAATTAGCCGGGCTCTAATTCTTACACGATGTATTTTAGATTTTGTTGTCCAAATGTCTCCTCATCTGGAGTATCTCACACATCTCAAATAGATTTAGAAGCAATAGATTGACAATTCCCTGATTAAAAATGTAATTTATGCTTCACCCCGCTGTGATACTCTCGCCTCGTAAGGTCGATGCAGGCGGGTTAGAGTGGGTGTTGGTGGATAATTACCTCAGGTTAATGTTTGAAGTCTATTTCAGTTTTCAGACTTAGATATCAATGATATCTGTTTTCACTTCAAAGCTGCATTCATGAATATCTGACCTCGGTGTGATACCTCACCTCTGAGATCTTTTTTTAGCGTTCTGACTTTAAACTATTTTTCTGTTGCTTTCTGAGTTTGTTGAACTCTTCTTGTCCCTGTTCTTTTTTTTCTGCTTCAGTTCAGTGTGATGATGATAACTGACTGACTTTTTCCTCAAATATAACTTGTAACAGAGACATATGACATCTCTTTCATAGCATCCATGCTGTTTGTTGTTGTTTTTACAACATTCAGACTTTCTGACCTGAGAGAACGAGAACACACTAAAGTCTGAAGAATAACTTCCCAACTTGGAGATTGGGACCGTCCGAGGAGCACCTGAAAGCAGCATCAGCGAGCTTTTTTCAATGACTTCTCAACAAATAACCAGTTTGAGTTCATTCCTTACGATTGTAAATTGATTGTCTAGAAGAACTCTTTTAGAGTCTAAATCTTTAGAAGAGAAAATAGTTCATTTTACTATTCCTCTTATTTATTGAAATGTTTAATGGATCCAGCAGTGTCCTCTCTCATGGTGTTTTATCACATCTGCTTATTTTCATGAGGTATAGACTATACTGTATAGTAAGTATGAATAAAAAGAGAACTCACAGCTCTCCAGCTCCAGCGAGCAGGTTTGAGAGTCCAGAGGGAAGCGGCTGAAGTCCATGTTACAGGCGGCCGTCACCGTCACTCTGTGAAACCACACAAACAACAATAGACACACGCAGTGAGAACAGGTGTGATGCTGCAAACATTTATTCACCACATGATGGCCAGTCAAAATCTGGATAAACTGCAGGATGTTGTCGCTCGTCTTCTGTGGCCTGAATAACAAAACAAAGATTTTGTTTATTTAGGGTCAACATTTTGTGTCAATCAGGACTGGCAATCCACCAGCTCACACACGTCTGCTTTCACCATAAATGGAGGCTTAGAGAACAACATGTAGGAACTCGGTTTGGTGCCCTTTAGCGCTCCTTTAGATGCAAAGCACAGCGGCTCTCCTCTGAGCTTCCTCACCTTATCTCTAAAGCTGAGCTCAGCCGCCCTGCCGAGGAAACTAATTTGGCCACTTGTATCCGCAATCTCCATTCAGTGACCACCCTATAGGCTCATATCCATGACATGAGGGTTGGAACGTAGATTGAGTGGTGAGTAGAAAGCTTGGCCTTCTGGCTCAGCTCATTCTTCACTAGTCCAGCACAGCGTTTGCAGTAATTTATTGCTGACACTGCAGCAATGGGCCTGTCAGTCTCGAGATCCATTTGACCCGTACTTGAGAACAAGACCCTGAGATACTTGAACTTCTTTGCTTGGGCAGAGACGAACTTCCCATCCTGGGGCGATTAAACCATTTGGGATGAAAATCCAGATATTGTCTCAAAGAAAACACCCAAATGTGTGACAGAATTTAAAACAGGGACTTTATCTGCAGATGATATGTTTGTTATCTTTTAAAACATCTATTTCAGTTTCTCCTAACTCTCACTCTATTGAGCATCTCATTTGGAGCCCCTCGTTGATCTGTTGATTTGAAAGTTGACAATGAACAAACTGAGGCTTTTCCTGTCACCTGAGCAGAACAACTTTCTGATCTCTGATCTTAAATATATATATATATATATATATATATATATATATATATATATACATGCATATATAATATTTCTGATCCAGGTGAGCCTACAGATTTTTGTTCATGTCGTGTAGAAATGCTCATTAAAGTGAGCTTTAAGACTGACATAAGTCACATGAAATGCAGAAAACATAATCTAAAAATATTTTATAAGTTTCCACATCATGGATTTGGAGACGTTGAGTTGAGCTGAACTACAAACAGAACTTCAAACGCTGCAGAAAACTTCTCTGTTCTTCTTCCAGTCTCGGCGGCTGCACCACGCAACAGCACAGACTCGTCTGATGTGAAGAGGAATAAAAATGTAATTAAACCATTTCTGAGCAGAAAAGTTCACGAGTAAGAACGAGGATGAGTTCACCTGTAGAGATTTCTCTGAACAGCAGGTGAACGTGATGTTAACAGGAAGTCAGCAGAGATTCAGATGCAGTGCTAAAACACAAATATACAGTTGAATAAATGAATGTAAATCTGCAAACAGACTTTAAGTTTTCCAAAATCAGAGTTGGATTATGAACAGGGGAGACAAAGGCAAAAATATATACGGGAATAATCCCTGTTCAATCACTTTGTGAGTGTCAGTATGATGGAATATCTTTTAGCTTCTGGTCTGCTGGGAGGCATCAATCATCTCAAAATGTATCTCCTTAAAAGCACTTAAAGATTCAGTAAGATATCTACTGAATAAAATGATAAAGTGACCTTACTATATGATCAGACATGAAGGAAACATGATATGTTGAAGTGCTGGCTTCTCTGACAACAATGCAGCAGCCAGTATGTCCTCCTTCTAACTTTAGATTCTGCTCCTGAATGATCTGGATTTGTTTGGACCAGAGAAGGTAGGCGGTTTTAAGGTACCCCCACACGGCCGTTTTGGACGCCCCTCTGTTTACCAGATATGAGAGCAGTTATCAGGTCAACAGGTGTTGCAGCGATGGAAGCGGCCAAGAGAAGTGGTTCAGATAGAAGTGATTATACCCGACCTAAAAAGCCTCTGCATGTTTCTAATAAGCTCCACGAGCAGAAACGTGCTCAAACTAGGATCAATATTGGAGATGCTTTTGAAAAATGGAGAGAGGTTAGAACACAGAAAGGTTTACAGACCGATGCAGAGCTGGATAAACACTGAAGCTTCAGCGTCCACCACATGACAACCTGCGTGAGCATCGACTCTAGAGAGGAGGGGGCGGGGGGAGACAGCTCTCTGCAATGTTTAGAATTTGGACTGCAGTACCCATTTTGAACACTAGGTGTCAGAGTTAATTTGCGCCTTTAAGATTGTGATTAAGATAAGCACTAAAAGTCGTTATATTTAAGGGGCTCCATGGGTTTTCAGAGAGTTTTGGAGCCCTTCTGGGTGAGAGAACTGCTCAATTATTCATACTTTTTTACTTATTTGACTTTCCCACTGCCTGGGCTGCAGCCTGCAGGTCAATGCAAACACAAAGCCAACCTAATAAGACTGATCTATGCTTTGAAATTCAGATAAACTTTATACAGATATGAATTTGGATTATCTTGTAGCAGTGCTGTTTGCAGGATATTAAATCAGGCATCACAAGCACTTTATTTCTGTCACATCTTTAACAAAAATAATCTTTTACAAGGAAATGTTGTCGCTCTGAAGATGTTTCCATTTGTGTTACTTTGTCAGCAGCAACAAATACTACTTAAATACATTCAATCAATGCAGCCTGTTTTTTCTACAACATGCATTTTGGGAGTTCAAAGTGCTCCTGACTTCCTTCTATGCATTGAAAGTGTCCTTAAGTTTTACAGACGGTCAAAAAAAAGTAGGTTACTGCTCTTTTCAGTGGTGAATATTCTGCTTAATCTAAAACAAATGGACCTCTCTACGATAAGAGGTTCCAGCTCCTGAATGCATCCTGATCTTCAGCCGCAGGTTAGCATTGTTTTGTGTCAACACAGTTTTCAAATGAAGCCAATTTAACAACCAAGAAATGTCAAGTGCTGAGTGCTTTTATCCAAAGTGTTATTGTAGAGAAATGTCGGAATCAGAATTTGTAAAGCAACAGATGAAAACAAACAAATAAAGGTCAGGCAGCTCATTTTGGGTTATTATCCAACAGTTGGAGTTAAAAAGAGCTGAAATACATCAAACTGGACTTTGGGTCTTGGAACAATTTAAAAAAAAACAGAGACTGTAAATATGAATGTTTGAAGCCTGAGTGACGTCACCCGTCTGTTCCTGCAGGGGGCGCTGGAGTCCCATCGATGGCGCTCTCCATGCAGGAAATGCTGTCTCAGCCTAACTTTCAGTCTACGTAACGACAGGCTGAGATCTGGAGCTGAGGCGGGTTTTAAGACTCCTGACAAACCGCTACATAGCCCATCAATCATTTCAGCTATGGCTACAAATTTAAAAAATGTTTCTCAGATTTATTTTGGATTCAGGAGGGATATGCTGCAAAAACAGGATTTCTTTGTAAACATGTAAATAAACACACAAACACAATATTGAACAATGTCATCCCACGTCCCACATTTCACTCATGCCGTGAAGGCCTCTATGATATATATTGTGCATGTAGAAAAAAAAGACTCCTAAACTCCTTTAAATTGTCTGTTACCAATAATTACAAAGTGCACATGTAGTTCTTCCTGTTGTGTAATTGTATGAATCAGGGAAAGAAATCAACGCGGTGATGCCGGTGAAATTGTCTTCTGCTCAAATAAAGAATCAAAGATGATCTGAGGGCTTTGAGTAAAGTTGGTAAAAGCATTATGAAGCAGATAAAACCTCAGCAGCAGTGATCCTTTAAAGCAGCAGATTAATGCTCTGATAATATTTGTCAGTGACTACAGACCTGAGACTGTAGAGGACGTGTCCGTCGGGAAACACGCGCAGCATGATGTTGTCGGTGGTGGTGTCGTGGATGAACGACCTCTTGGAGTGGACAAAGAAGACATCGGGGACCCAGATCTTCTTCACCAGGCGTCCATCGAACGTCATGCTCTTGTTGGTGCTGCTGCTGAATGACAGGCGCTCGTCCTTCCAGTAGTGCCGCAGGTACAGAGTCATGGTGAAGTCCTGGACGAGATACAGGAGGAGTGTGTGTGAAGGAGTTTTGATTTAAACAATACAAAATGAAATGACTACAGATAACAAACTCATTATATTATCAAAACTGTGGAACTGCCTTCTCTCATTGATCAGATCTACCCCTACGGTATGATCAGACATTAAGGAAACATGCTATGTTGAAATGCTGGCTTTGTTTGGACCAGAGAAGGATCAATATTGGAGATGCTTTTGAAAAATGGAGAGAGGTTAGAACACAGAAAGGTTTACAGACCGATGCAGAGCTGGATAAACACTGAAGCTTCAGTGTCCACCACATGGCAACCTGTGTGAGCATGGACTCTAGAGAGGAGGGGAGACACCTCTCTACAATGTTGGACTGCAGTACCCATTTTAAACACTAGGTGTCAGAGTCACATATTGCTAATTGAAAGAAACAATGTTTATGTCTCAAAGAAGGCTGGTCATTTCCTGCATCACTTTGATATAAAACGTCTGAAATGTTTGTCTGTGCACGGTGAAATGTAAAAATTAGAGTTGCAGAAGAAGAATCAGAAATAAGTCATACAGGACTTAGCCAACACTAACAAAGGATGGATAAAAATTGATATGTGTAGCAGCAAATCTTAGGTAGATCTTTAATTTCGCTTAAAAAACAATTGCATGATTTTTCATTAACCCTGTCTCGTTTTCCTACCTCACTACTTCCTCCTTTCAGCTCATTTCAGTACATTATTATAAGTGTGCATGCTTTCATTTGCTTGTGTATCTACATATTAAATTGTAAACTGTAAGTAATTCAACAGCTACGCAGTCTAGCTTCTCTTAAAAAACGAATCTTGAACTCACACAGAGACAAACACGAGTCACACGAGCAGAACAAGCAGAGACGTCTGTCGGCGCTGCAGACGATCAAGAAGCCTGTCAGCGGGGAGACACTGCTAACTGTTTTTGTTGTCAGCATTTAATTAGATTTGGAGAAAATCCAGCTTTTCACAGCTTCACAGATTAGTACAGAGTCTGAAGAGAATCGTCTCCGTTCACAGATCGTGTTAGATGCTTTGAGTAGAGTTCATTATAAAATAGAAAATGATGTTTATTAAATTATCTCCACATCAGTTTAGGACACGCTGCACTAAAAGAAGCTCTAAATGAAAACACACTCACATGACTGATTGTGTGAGGATTCTGGATTATTAAATGACTGCAATAAAAACAATAACATACTGTTCATCTTACACTATCTCCACTTTGGAAAACAAGCCAACATGCTTTAAAGAGTGAGACAAGTATGCCGTTTAAAGTCCTCTACTTTCTAGTTCCTCATCCGTCTTTGCAAGCGACAGAGAGGAAAACCGGTCGTCGGGGTAAAAACGAAGCGGCATGTTGCGTTGGTCTCTCACAAGCGGGTAGGACACTCCAATAGGAAACAATAGAATCAAGCTGATTTGGTCGCTGACACTTGCTGGGGTCGTGTACTGTTAGGACAGGCTATCACTCTTAGTCTTAATATCATTAAACAAATATAAAAATAATCATCCCCTGTAGAGCAATAAATTAGATATTCAGGCCTAATTAGATTACCTTTTAGGTAATCAGGGGGATTACCTAAAAGGTAAAATTGACCTTTCTCAGCCCTAAGACTTTTAGGGCTCCTGCAGCCGGCCTAAAGTGGACACTCAAAGAACTGCAGTTATTGACACTTCCACGTTGACTTCATTTTTCAACAGCAGAGATTGCCGCTTCGTGTAGGACCACAATTTTAAATCATTTTCACCAATTCATGAATTTAATTTTGCTCTTCCTTACCAAGTTATTATTTATATTGTTTATCACATTTGTTGTTTTTAGCACTTTTTGACGGCTGCTGTTTCAGTCCCAATGCACCTTATAAGGCATACATGCATTATCCATAACTTTCACATTTATGCAGGTAGGTAATGAACAGGTACACTTACCATATCAACCTCAGAAATACTGTCCAAGCTCTCCACCTGAACGTCCACTCCTACGGGGATCGCAGGACCTGTCGAACAAAAGTTCATCATGAAGTTACTGCATTTTAAGATTGATGAGAGGATATCTGAGTTTTAAGAGGTGGCTGTCTTCCTTTGCTTGGTTCACAGCTACAAGGGGACTTTTAAAAGGTGGCACATCATCCATGTACAAGAAGTCTCCTAGTACTCATTTTGTAATGACTTCTCAATGAATCACCAGTTTGAGTTAATTCATTAAAGGAAGAACGTGCAACTTTTTGATACAGTCTATGTCGCCCTTGAGCACCAATTACCGAGCTGCAATTACCTGTGTTCTGCATTGTTGTGTTAGCATGATCTAAAGACACTTACATGACATCCAAATAATCAGTGAGTATGTTCTTCTTCTTTTCTCTAGTCCTTGACTAAAACAGCTTTTATACTCAAGGGGAGGAGCCGGCCGTCCCGTCCATGTAAACACAGCTCTGACAACAACACAGCCAGCAGGACTCGAGCTTCTCACTCATTGTAGGGGTTGTTTTTTTTTATTTTGTTTTTATTAAATGTTTTAATTGGGCTCATTATTAAATCTAAAAAGTAACCCTTTACATGCCAATTTGTTTGAAATAATTAACTTTTTTTTCCACAATATGTTTTAAAAAAAGTTAAACATACTAAAAGGTAATGTGATTATTCTACTATTATTATTCCTGTTAATAATAGGCATCAGCAATAATTCAGTCTGTTTCATGACTAGTCAGCAGCTAATCACATCAGACCTGCAGTGCAGAAATCTCTGTTGATGAGCAGGTATGACACAAGTTCTCATTCATGGAGACAAAAATGACACATTTTGTTTTCAATCAATACACAAACTCATTTATTGCAGCGCACTTAAGTGTAGACATTCAGTTCCTTTCCACAGGACGGTAAGAGATCACTTAATCTATTGTTAAAGAACAATCTCTTCTGTACATCCTCTGTCATAAAGAGGCAACATTTAAAAAGTCTGTACAGGGGGGGAAGGTTAAAGGGCAAAGGGAGATTATTAGTGATAAAATACTAAGGGACTACACAGTCTGCAATCAGAATGTCAATAATAAAAAAATAAATAATTGAGCATTTCTATTTTTATTCCGCAAAAAAACAACTGTGTTGTTAATATTTCGTAAATGTCTCAATTCATTCTCATCCTGGGTTCAGGTCAGGTTTTAATCTATGCAGTGCAAATTCATTACTTCACAATATTAATGTTTCTGTACATGTAAATGTAAACCATTCAAAATGTACCATGTTAAAATGATTTCTTCATTCAAGATCCATATTTTTATGTAGGCTATTTAAACAAAGACAAACTCCTTGACATCACGTCAATAATTACTTCCATAAAATAAGATTTCAAAATTTAAATTACACTTACGGCATCCAAACAAATTTCATTATGCACAAGTAATATTTCAATATTTTCAGTTGGATATTTTTGTCATTTCCACAGTCCTATGAAACAGTCTCTATGTGCACCAGTATGGCATATGACACCAGATTGCCAAGAGCTATTGACATGCATGAAACCAAACTGATTTAAACCACCCAAATACTGACAAGTTCAGTTAAAAAAAAATCCTAAATTCATTTATATGTTAAAAACATATAAATGGAAAACAGTCTTTCCTCTTGAGAATGCATTTATTTTTTGATGATAACTTCATCCAAATATTGCAAAAGAAAAATAGCCTGGAACACATTATACTGAAAAGAGGGTAGGGGCTCATTTACTATACTGTCTCTATCTGTGCATTTGCCAGTGTTTTGTTTTATTAGCGCATGCAGCTTGACACTTTATTCCTCATGAACCTCAGTGCTGAACTGTAACTTCTGAACATATCTAATGGGACTCCTTGAGTTGAGCTTATCTCTTGCTGACATCCACAGAATTCCTCCATGCTTCCTCACAAATGCATTTATTAGTTTTCCTTTTTCAATGAAGTATAATCTAGAAATAATTTTAAGGCCAGAGAATGCCCTATAGCAATTTTATAGTCACCTTTTGATGAACCCTGGTTTAAAAACATGTACAGTTAGATATAAGATAAGTAAGTTATACATATAATATTTACTGTACATTCACTCAGTTTATAATTAAAATGTCAACTATAAACTTAAAACAAACAAGATAATTTATGGCACACAAATATTTTTTATTTAAGATTTTAAAAATGGAAAGAGTGAAGAGGGTGGTGTTGAGGGGTTTGGCTTGGTGGGGCAGACGAGGAGGGGCTTGTGGGTCTCTGAGGCTTCTGAAGGAATGATTGGTTGTCCATTCATAGATGCCCCATGCAGGAACACTGGAAACACAGAGGAGTCCTGCCCTGTGAAAAAGATGAATAAGACATGTGTTAGTGTGGACATAGTATGACAACCTTTGCATGATATCTTTACCTATAATAAAAATAATATACATATGTCATCTTAAATTTATCAGCACTTACTTTGCTGTGTGACAGCAAGGTGCCCATCGCTCTCCAGCTGGTCCTGTAGTCATCCATCCTTCACATCTGCTCTGGAGTAAACACGTCTTCTGTTGCCATGGGAATCTTGGGTGTCGAGTCTTGGCCTTCTCCATCGTCTCGTCTTGTGGGGGGGGTTGGTACATCTGAGAAGCAAACAAACAACAGTATAACTAAGTGGCTAAAGACAAAATTAGCTTTTTATTAAAAAAAAGGGATATGAACATTAGATTCCTAATGTTAGACAGTATAAACTTACCTCTGTCTGCTAGTCACCTACACCTAATTTATAAAACATGGTTACGTGCAACACAGTGAGGACAATAAACAGTGTTTAATTACCTGTGCATGGAATTATCAGCTGTCTTTAGAAACTATTGCTATTAAATATTACCTTACCTTTGTCTGGTATAGCCACCTGGACTGTACATAGACAAATACACAACAACATAACAAAGTAAGAAAGAGTAACTATCTCTGAGTCTGCACTATTCCAGAAGTTGATTTAAACTATCAAAAAACGTGCCTAATGCTTGTACAGTACTTGCAGCTGTTAAGGTTGCCTAACAGCATTGTCTGCCAGACATTTGGAAAGGTTTCTGGGGCTTTGAAAAGTCCTGCCAGACACAAAGATTCCACTTTTCACTTCCTGGAGTAATCAGGGCTGTCATCCAAATCAGAATAGCTGTCATCAACCACAGGGGGATACTCCCAGAATCCTCTTCTTCTGTAGGAGCCTGAGGTGGATGGAGCGGAGTCCATGTAGCGCTCCTCCCTGCTCCTCTTGGTGGAGGAGCTGAGGCCTGAAGTGGAAGTAGCACACCCAGTCATACTCATACCCAGAATCCTCCCTGAACCAGCCTGAGAAGTCCTCCTCGCCCTCGTCCTCGGTCGCCTGTTCCCTCTCGTCGCTCTCCTCTCACTCTCCGCTTCACTCTCCGCTTCAAACTCCTATTCACGCTCCTCTTCGCTCTCTTCTTCACTCTCCTCTCCATACTGCTCTCCATACTGCTCTCCATACTCCTCTCATACTCCTCTCAAACTCCTCTCCATACTGCTCTCCATACTCCTCTCCATACTCCTCTCCATACTGCTCTCCATACTCCTCTCCATACTCCTCTCCATACTCCTCTCCATACTCCTCTCCATACTCCTCTCCATACTCCTCTCATGCTCTCTCCATACTCCTCTTCCATACTCCTCTCCATACTGCTCTCCATACTGCTCTCCATACTCCTCTTCATACTCCTCTCCATACTGCTCTCCATACTCCTCTTCATACTCCTCTCCATACTCCTCTCCATACTGCTCTCCATACTGCTCTCCATACTGCTCTCCATACTCCTCTTCATACTCCTCTTCATACTCCTCTTCATACTCCTGTGGTCTCCTCATCAACCACAGGGGGATACTCCCAGAATCCTCTTCTTCTGTAGGAGCCTGTGGTGGATGGAGTGGAGTCCATGTAGCTCTCCTCCCTGCTCCTCTTGGTGGAGGAGCTGAGGCCTGAGGTTGAGGGAGCACTCTCCTCGTAGCATTCCTCACAGTCACACCTGGGCCTCTTACCACTTACCTGCTCTGTGAGGATCTCCTCCCTGCTCCTCTTGGTGGAGGAGCTGAGGCCTGAGGTTGAGGGAGCACTATCTTCTGATCTTGAAGGTGAGGTAGGATCTTCTTCCTGTGGATGTCGGACAGTCAGCTGCTGAGGAGGCAGCATCAGGAACAGGAGGAGACACCTGCTGCCATCTCTGGTAGAAATCCTCCGGGAACTGCCGGTCCAAAGGGGAGAGAGATCTGTTGTTCTCCTCTTCATCTTCATCCTCGAGGTCCTCTTCAGGGTCATACTCATACCCTGAATCCTCCCTGAACCAGCCTGAGAAGTACTCCTCGCCCTCGTCCTCGGTCGCCTGTTCCCTCTCGTCCTCGCTCTCCTCTTCACTCTCCGCTTCAAACTCCTGTTCACGCTCCTCTTCGCTCTCTTCTTCACTCTCCTCTCCATACACCTCATAGTACTCCTCTTCCCACTCCTCTCCCCTCTCCCCTTCATACTCCTCTTCATACTCCTCTTTGCTCTCCTCTTCGATCACCTCATCCTCATCTTCATCCTCAGAGGACACCGGAGGAATGTCCCCTGGTCTTGCTTCCTCTTCTACTGCAGAGGAGGGATCAGGGTTGTCATCCAAATCAGAATCGCTGTCATCAACCACAGGGGGATACTCCCAGAATCCTCTTCTTACGTAGAAGCCTGAGGTGGATGGAGCGGAGTCCATGTAGCTCTCCTCCCTGCTCCTCTTGGTGGAGGAGCTGAGGCCTGAGGTTGAGGGAGCACTCTCCTCGTAGCATTCCTCACAGTCACACCTGGGCCTCTTACCACTTACCTGCTCTGTGAGGATCTCCTCCCTGCTCCTCTTGGTGGAGGAGCTGAGGCCTGAGGTTGAGGGAGCACTATTTTCTGATCTTGAAGGTGAGGTAGGATCTTCTTCCTGTGGATGTCGGACAGTCAGCTGCTGAGGAGGAGCATCAGGAACAGGAGGAGACACCTG